GAGGGTTCAAGGCTGTTAATTCAGCTCACAACTCACTCCCACAAAAGCTCCTCGTCAAGATAAACACTATACTACAAGCGTGCAGGCTTAGTCACTCAGTCATGTCCAATTCTTTTCAACCCCACGGACTGTATCCCACCAGGCTCCTCTGTCCATGGGATTTTCCAGGCAAGAATCCTGGAGTGGGTTGCCACTTCCTACTCCAGGGGAACTTCCCAATCGAGAGACTGAACCCGTTCCTTGCAGGTGGATTCTTTACCACTGCACCACCTGGGAAGCCCAGGTGATACTATATTCAGAAGTGATTTATGCATACTTCCTATTCATCATATGTAATAAAAACTATATTAAGAAGTTAAGAATCTAACTTAGTAAAGTTTAAAATTGTTATTGCCTCTTCAATGACAGTACATGAAACTTTTTACTAAAAACTGGGGCCACTGCTTTGATTGTGCTAGGGCACCTGCAGTTTCACTCACCACTGCTAGAGCACCAAACTGTCAATACAGTGAAAGCAGCAATACTACCTTAGCATTACTATGAAAAGTTGCAAGCTAGTAACAAATGCTTGCAGAGGGTGTAGAGAAAGGGGGACCTCCCCTCTACACTGTTGGCAGGAATGTAAGCTGTCTGCAACCACTACGGAAAACAGGATGGAGGTTCCTCAAAAGACTGATACTATACTTGCCATATGATCTAGCAATCCTGCTTAGTCACCCAGTCGTGTTCAACTCTGTGAACCCACAGACTGTAGCCCGCCAGGCTCCTCTGTCCATGGGGATTCGCCAGGCAAGAATACTGGACTGGGTTGCCATGCCCTCCTCCAATGGATCTTCCCAACCCAGATTTCCCACGTTGCAAATGGATTCTTTCCTGGGTATCACTCAGACAAAACCGTAACTCAAAAAGATAAATGCAACCCTATGTTCCTAGCAGCACTATTTACAGTAGCCAAGACATGGAAACAATCTAAATAACCACCTACCGAGGGATGGATAAACCATGTATAGGAATACTACTTAGCCATAAAAAGGAATGAAATAATGCCATTGCAGCAACATGGATGGACCCAGAGATTATCATACTAGGTGAAGTAACTCAGAAAGAGGAAGACAAATACTATATGATATCACTTACATGTGCAATCTAAAATACAACACAAATGAACATACCTATGAAACAGGAACAGACTCATAGACATACAGGACAGACTGGTGGCTGCCAGGCGGGGAGAGGAATGGAGTGGGAGTGTGGCGTTAGCAAGTGCACGCTATTATATGTAGAATGGGTAAATGATAAGTTTTACTGTATAGCACAGGAAACTATTTAGTACTCTGTGATAAACCATAATGAAAAAGAATTTTTAAAAAAGAACAAAAATTTTAAAAGATAAAAAAGTTGTAGGCTCACAACTGTGAGCTGTGTCTGAGGAATTCCCACTAATCTTTCCAAACCTTGCTAAGTGTCCCTTTCCTGTCAGCCTCCTATACACCACCTCCACTTCTCCCCTCCCTCAGATCTGTTCCCTCAACATTTCACATCTTCATCATGACCTCTCATAGATGAATATATTCATTTACAGCATCCATCCAAGGCCATTTTGCCCCACACTCCAAGCCCCAGGCTGTCAACTTCTTAAGGATAATAACTATCCCTTGGCCATTTCAGAATTCAGAAAAGTACCCTTACTTGTCTTCTGACTTTTTTTAATACCTTTATTTGCATTAATTTTTTGCAGCATTTATTCCCAGACCATAAGTTTTTGTTCCTTCAGCTTCTTCTGACATATCTTTTCTTCTGGGCAGCCTCCTCTTCTGGTTTAGGAACAAGCTGTTCTTTTTCAGTAAGGATCATCTCAGCGAGGCAAGGAGAGCTCATGTACAGGTTGATCCGACCCTCACGGTTGGATCAACCTGTACATGAGCTCCGTAAGTCCTACACAGCATCCTGGGGGCTTTGCTCACCTGCCTGTGCTCAATGACCACAAAATCTACATCTAAGCCCGTAAGTTCAGCGTTACTCTCTGCATTTTTGAGCATGTGCAGTAAAAATTCAGCACTCTTTCTGGGCCACCGACCCTGTGTCCAGCCTCACTGCTTGGCCTGTGCACACCTACCAACTCCACCGTTATGACGGAAAGGCACACACTGCTTCTTTAAAGTGACATCCTCCAGATACTTAATGGCTTTTCAGATATGCATACCCTTAATTGCCTGGGCAGTTTCATGAATGTTCTTAAAGTGAACAAGAAGATTTGAACCTCTTGATCTGCATGATTTTGAGGGGTTTTCTGGGTCAAGTGAATAGCACACCATTTTGAGAGGTCACCCCAGGCTGCTTACGGGAAAAGCATCTTCTGTCTTTCTTAGAAAAATAGTAAAGAAAACAAGGTGCTGCAGACCACCTCCAGTGAAGAGATACATTGCGTGAAACACTGAACGGCTCACTAAGTTTCTTTTTCAAGATGACACTGAATGAATAAATGCTACTGCAGTAAGCCATCTCAAACTTTTTTTCTGATAACCTGTTTTCAAATCAAGTCTGTGGTATCAAGTCACTGACTAAATACTCATGATATTCCTTAGATAAAAATCTTCCTCAATTCCTTTAAATAGCAACTATTTAAGGGAAAAACCTCAACTCTAATCTACTCCGGAACATCCCAGAAAGCTAATCACTAGCTACGCCAAACCTAATCAATTAATCCCATCCATGGATCAGGGATGGCATCACCAACTCAATGAGTCTGAGGAATCTCCAGCAATCTCCAGGGAAGCCTGGTATGCTGCAATCCATGGGGTCGCAAAGAGTCCGACCCTACTGAGCAACTGAACTGAACCGATCACTGTTCAAAGAACTCTTTCTCATTCCAGGCTACACTACTACAAGAAACTTAATCATATCCTGATAGAGAACTAGTCTGACCACTTCTCCAATCAAGCCAATTCTGTATTATTACTTTTTTTTGAGTCAACTTTCGGGGGGTATAACTTACAAACAATAGAATGCACACACAAACACTGCTTTTTCCTACTCAAATTCTTACTTCTGCTGCTCTGATCTTCCGGACATTTCAAAAATTAAGCCATAGAGCAATGAAGTCGAACCACATGAAACAGTCAAGAACGAGCGATTTCATATGGCTAGACCTAATAAAGCTTTAAGAAAAATGCAATGAAACTTGAATGCCCAACAATAAAACAAGTGGACGAAATTAAGAAAAAACTGTGTCTTACCGGTCATTCCAATCATCCCCTCGACGTCTTTCATCTCTCTCCCGGGAACGGTCGTAGTCGCTACGCTCTCGTCTAAACTTGTCCCTGCGCCTTCGATCATACTCGTCATCACTGTCACCCATGGCGCTGGCTGAGGGGGCCTGGAATCCGGAGAGGGATATCTGGGCGTTCAACAATGACGACAGGAGCAGAGGACCCCACCCCACCCCCTTTGCAGCAGCATGCCCGCCTCCCTCCACAAAGGCCAGCCCTCCACCGACCCCGCCATCATAAGGCCTCGGCCCCTGCAGCTGGAGGCCTCCGACTCTCCAGTCGCCCCCAGCGGCCTCCCCGCCCACCCGCAAGCCCGTCTCCCCGCTTCCCGCCCCAGCCCGGCTCTTCCCGCTCCAGGCCCCTCCCCCAACCTGGAAGCGGTCGCGGCCGTTAGTCTCGCGGTCCAGCCAGCAGGTTCCCTGGGAGATCTGGGCCCGCCCCTTGCCTCGGGCGCGCGACGGGGAAGTCGAGGAGGGTGAGAAGGAGACTGAGGGCTCTTGGCGACGGGGCCGAATGGACGCGAAGTAACCGGGACAGCCGAGAATGGACGGTCGGCGCGCGCAGCTCGAGCTGCGCCTGCGTCACCCGCAGAACTGCGCCCGGAACCACACACTGCACCCAGCAGGGCCTGATGGAGAACTAACTAGGAGAGGGAAAGGCTGGGAGCACCGAGGACTGATGGGAAGGGGCGGGCACCCAGAAGTCTCGCGCGCTCTGCGGGACGAGACCTGTGCGGGCGAGAGGAACTACGGGAGCCGGGCGGGACCAAGCCTCGGGAGTGCGGTAGACTCCCCCTACCCACTCTGGCCGTGAGGGAGCGCTTCCTCCCGCCGAGGTTGGAGGTCGCGCTTCCCCGGATGTATCCGAAGTCTAAACCAGTTGGCATTCAGCTGCTTTCCACCTGTGTTCAATCGCGGAGCCCCCCGACTTCATCAGGAATGGTTCTCCCCTCTCCTTGCGCAGGGCAGAGGTTTAGGGACTCTTCCGTTTTCGCGGACACAGCAACCATTTTAAAGCATTTCCCACCATTTTGTGATCTCACTAGAAAACCAGCCTTTATTGGTCGTCGATGTGCGCTACCTGCAAAACCCATTGTTCCTGCTCTTCTTCCACAAAGGCACCCCATCTTTAATTAAAAGTGGCAGACCCCAACCAGCACCTTGATGAGATCGGTTGTAGGTTGTGATCCTGACCGCCAAGCAGGATCTGGGCTGCCCCAGATTAAATGCAGCACCACCGCAGGGAATAACAAAAAAGTGCTTGTTAAGTGAGTTGAGTGTGAAGACTTTAGGAAATGCTGCCTTTCTTGCACATACTGCATCCTTGTCCCCAGGGCTTGTGGGGGCTTTGCGGGGTTGTGGGGGGGGGAATGTCTTTACAGAAACTACTTTAAAAAGAGTGTACAATGGAGTTGCAAAAAACTGGTCCAGGACTAGGAAGACCCTTCTGATCTTGGTTCTGCCATTTGGGAGCGATGCAACCTGAGGACGTCACTTCTCAGCTACTTCTCAGCTAAAAATGCAGGCCAGCCACCACAGCCTGCTTGTGTGGAGCTGATGTGAGAATATCAGATGAGACAACAGACTTCAAAGTGTTTTGTAAACTCTGGCGGGGTTGTTATTTCATGACTGGAGGATGAGGAGACAGCACTTGGTGACAAAGTTACAAAGGTAGTTGTCGGGGAGGGTGGTGGATGGGAAGGGAGGACACAGCAGGTGCTCCTGGGGAGACTCAGCAGTCGGTGGTGACCGTGGCCGAGAGCTCCTGGATCCGCCAGGCACTGCAGGCCTTGCACAAGATGTGCCCGTCCAGCGGGTAGCAGCCCTGACACTCACCCTCAGAGGAGAGCAGCAGCCCACACTCCTGTTCAGAAAGAAGCAACAGCTTTCCATCAGGCCCCGATCCCTGAGATCTTTCTCCATCATGCTTTACCACACCCAGTGCCCCAGGCCCGAGTAACCCTCCCCCCCACCCACACTGTTGCCCAGGCCCCCCTACCTCACACTTGTAACAGCCAATGTGAAAACTGCGATCCAGAGCTACGATTCGCACGGTCTCCTCCTGACCTGGCTCAGGCATGATGGCCCCACCACATACTGAGCATCTTGGGGCAAACTTCCTGGGGGCGGAAGGGAACCCAGGAGGCCGTCAAGTCCCAGGGTTGGAGGGGACTAACAGTGGTAGGTAGGGTTTGGGATCTTAGGGAAAGAGAGAATGAGGCACAGCCAGGGTTGCCAAACAGGAGAGGCTGGTACTGCGATAGGAAGGAGTCATGAGGAGATGGGAAAGGCCAGCCCAGACATCCTGAGACACAAGCTGGGGACCCGGCTGACCTGTGGAAGTCCTCGATGCAGTGGATCTGGCTCGTGGCATCCACAGTGAAAGGAATGCCGTCGAGGCCGCGGTGGCACACCACACAGGTGAAGCAGCCTGGGTGGTAGGCCTTCCCCATAGCCCTCAGAATCCGGTCCAGAATGGGCTGGGAGCACGTGGAGCACTTTTCCAGGGTGGCCTGCCGGGAAAGAGGGCAGGAAGGTCGGGGGCTGGGGAGACCCCCAGGAGCCCTTCCAGGCATCCGGCCAGCCCATCCATCTTATTTCTGTAGCCCCCTGCGTGGGATTCAGTGAAACGTGACCTTGAACAGATCTGAGTACTGACCCCAGCACTGCAGCTTCCTGGACAAGTTATTCAACCTCTCTGAGCTTCATTTTCCTTCAGTAGTCATATCTGCTTCACTGGGATATTGTGGGAATTTAGCACCTTCCTGTAAATCTAAAATAAATGCCTGGGACTTCACCAGCAGTCCAGTGGTTAAGAATCTGCCCACCAAGGCAGGGGACATGAGTTCAATCCCTGGTCTGGGAAGATCCCATACGCCTCAGAACAACTAAGCCCATGCACCACAACTACTGAGGCTACACTCTGCAGCCCCATGGTCTGCAACAAGAGCAGCCCCGGACAATGAGAAGCCCGCGCACCGCAGCTAGAGAGAGCCGGCTGGCAACACAAAGACCCAGCGCAGCCAAAAATAAATAAAAACAAATGCTTCACACGTATGAGGGAATATTGTCCTTCTTCTTCAGCAGCCAGTGTATAGCTACTTACTTCATTCATCCCTTCTTCTGGTTTATCAGTGTCAGTTCCCCTGCTTCAAGCCCTATTCGTCTAGTTTCCAACTCCTTTATTCCAGTTGGACGGAAGCCCCCCCGGCCCCCAGCCACTCACCACATAGCAGCTCTCACAGTATGCCCTCCTGTCCACGGCGTAGAAATGCTGGCCCCGCAGCTGGGCCCGGCACGCGGCACACACAAAGCAGGCCACGTGGAAGACTCGATCCAGGGCCACCACCCCGGCCCCGTCCCCGACCACGTCTTCTCCGCAGCCACCGCACCGGCCTGGGGGCGGGGAGGGACAGGGTCAACCCCGTAACAGGCCTGGAAGCCTGTCCCGGGAAGCCGGATCCGCTGTCCCTCTGACTCTACAGTCCCACCTCCCCGAGGCCGGGGGTCAGCTCACCGAAGTACTCCCCGCTGGGCGGGTGGTTCATGTCGTGCACCAGCTTCTTGGTCAGCCTCTCAAGCTCCTCCTCGGGAGGCTGGCTCGGGGGGACCTGGGAGGTGAGAATCAGGGGTTTGGCCCTTCCTCTAGCTCCCAGTGCTGTCACTGAGGGTCCCCAGGGTAACCAGGCCGTTCTACCCCGAAAGCTGATCAGAGAACAAGTCCCAGCCCACGGGCTGGGGGAGCCCCTCTGGCAGCCAGGGTGTAGATCTAGGCCCCTCCTTCTTTTAGTCTTGAACTGCCCCACATCCACAGGGAATCCAGAGCCCCAACATCCCAGACCTCTGACATTAACCACTCCCCACGCACCCCACCGAGTCAGCATCCACTTGTCTTTGATGGACCCAAAATCCCAGCACCCAGGACTTACCTGGGACCCGTACCCGCCTCCTCTTCCGCCTGCAGGGCCAGAGACCCCCGCGGCCTCCTCCTTAGCCCCTGGCCCTGGCTCGCGGTGGCTCCTGTAGCCAGCCCCCCAGACTTCACCTCGGCCTGGGAGAGGAAAGTGGGGGCCCGGGGAGGGCCCGGAGGCCTGAGAGGCCCCCCGCCTGGGAGGGCCACAGCCTCTCACGGGTTGTGCCACCTTTACTTGCACAGGGAAGGCAGGGCCGGCAGGGGTGCTGGCCGTAGCGTAGGAGGCCGGAGTGGGGCCCCCATAGGGGGGCCCTGGGAGCGGCGGGGGAGGAAGCGCCCCTCCATTTGGCCTCAGGGGGCCTGAGCCTGAGCGGTAGGCTGGGGGTTCATGGGGCTCGTAAGCCTGGGGAGAGACACAGAGCAGGAGTGAGCTGGGCCCATTTCCAGGACACCCATCTATAGGAACCCCCCCCACCTCTTGGGGCACCCAGGCAAGAACCAGCTTTGACAAGGGCCCGCAGTAAGCATCCCTCACATGGGGCTTGTTGGAGGGGGAAATGGGGGGGTATTCAGAGTAGGGACCAGGCTTGTGGGGGGAGGGGCAAGGTCAAGGATCAGAAGGGGCAGGGGCAGGAAAGGGGAGTCACCTGCCGGTCAGGCCGTCGTGGGGCGTGACCTCGACCCCCATCCAACTCAGCCAGCATGCTGGTCAGGGAGTCTATCTCAGCATCCAGACTTCCCGGGCGCAAGCCCCCCCTGTCTGGGGGGAAGCCCTGGGGAGGGAGCAAAAAGCAGAGAGAAATGCAACTCACAGGGTCTTCCCTCCTGCCCCGAATCGCCCCATCCCCGCCCCCCCCCCGTGCCCATGCTCACCTGTGAGTGCTGGGGTGCTCCGTGGCACCCCACCCAGGCCAGCCCCCGGTCCTCCGGTCCCCCGGGGGTCTGGTAACACTGCTCAGATGGGAGGGGGCAAAAATTGAGCCGGGGGTGGGGCTGGAGCGCTGGGGTGAGGGAAGAGAGAGCCAAGGTGGGGATGAGGAATGACAGGGTGAGGACGCCTGTGGAGGCCACCGTCTTGGGTCCCTCTTCGCCCCTCGCCCTGCACCTGGGGTCCGCGAATGGGGCCGGGGGCAAGGAGGGCTGCGAGGGGAAGGGGCGGCAGGGGCCGGCTCAGCGGGGCGCGGACGCCACAAGGCAGAGCTGAGAGCGCTGGTGGCCTGGGGGCGGCCTCTGGGCCTCACTGGGGCTGCCTTACCTGCTCCGTGGGCCGGGGGCGGCCCCGAGGCCCCTCGGGGGAGCGCTCTCCCCTGAGGGGCTCGAGCGGGCTCCGGCTGCTTCGGGGGGAGCCAGGTGGGCCCGGACATGGTCTGGAAAGGGGTACTCCAGACAGCGGGTCGGGCCCCACGGAGTCCCGGGGCTCTGACTTGGATCCCTTCTTCCGTCCCACACCTCGCTTGGGACTCCAGGAAAGAAACTTTTTCTGGCCTTTTTTTTTTTTTCCCCTTCCTCCCTAATTTTGGGGATGGCCACGCCCCTGGTGACATCATCGCATTCCTGGGGGAGGGTCACGTGGCCCCCTAGGCCCTAAACTGCTGTCCCTCCCCGAGTAGGGCCCCCTCCTGCGAGCAGGGAGCGCTTTCCTTGTGAGCCCCGAGTCTGGGGGCTACCGGCTGCCTGCATCTCCACCAGCGCCCTACCCCCACCCCAAGGCCGGCGCCCCAGGTCCCTGCTGGGAGTCTCTCCAACACCCCTCTGTCCCCATCCCCCATACAGATTTCTCCCTCTTTCCATCCCACGTAGCCACCCCCCCCTCCAGAAATGCTCAGTCCGCACTTAGTGTTTTGATCTTTTATTCACATTGAGCAGTTAGAAAAATAAAACAGAACAAAAACATCACAACCTCGGGGTGGGGGGGAGTGTCTGTTGGGCGAGGTGGGGGGGTGGAGACTGAGGTAGCCTAGAGTCACAAGCGGAGACCCAGCCCCCGTCAAGGCACGGGTGAAGGGAGGGAGGCCCGCAGGGAGGGCCGTGGACTTCTTCCCCGGGAAGGTGGTGGGACAGCTGCCCTGTGTTAGTAACCGCACTCAGGGAGGGAAACCAGGACGCCCTAATACGCCCACCAGCGGCCAAGTCCCACGTGGCAGACTGGCGCAAGGCAGCCCTTCCCCTTCTCACCCTATAATCAAGGTGGGCCACTGATCTGGATGCTCTCTCTCTGCTTGGTGTGGGCATCAGAGATCAGTGCAAGTGACAGGGGTGACACCATGAATGAGCAGCGTGGGGCCCAGATCTCGGCTCAGAATTTCCAGGAGCGCCAGGTAGCGCAGGTAGCGGGCAGAATCAGCAGGCGGCCTCGGCAGGTACAAGAAGGTGAGGGCGGTGGTGGGCCCCACTTCACCATCCCCTTCCTCAGGCCCACCGGGCCCTCCTCTACCACGCCCCTGCTGGGCCCGAACCAGGGCGTTGGCGCTGCATGCCAGGGCCTCTGCCTCAGCGTCTCCCCGCCTGCCGTTCACAAAGTCCCCTTCCTCCTCCTCCTCCGGCTCCTCGGAGGCGGCCCCCTCGCCCCACACCACCTCCCGCACCTCGGCCCGGATCCTCAACTGGCTCAGCAGTGCCCGCAGCCGCCCCTCAGCCGCCCCCGGGGCCTCCCGAGGCCCCAAGCACAAGAAGATCCGGAGGCGGGCACTGTGCCAGGCAGGCACCATGCCCAAGATGGTCGCCATTTGCAGCAGGAAGAGGCCGCACACGTCCACATAGCCGGGCCCGCCCCGGGGCCGCAGCAGGTTGAGGGGCCACACGTCCACATGGTGCAGCTGGGAGGTGCCCCCAGACCCCCGGCTCAGCCGCTCAGGGGGCAGGGCCCCACAGGCCCGGGCCAGGACCACGTTCTTGTTCATCTTCAGGGCGTCTGCCACGGTGGCCACGTAGTCCTGGGGACTGAGAGCCCGGGGGCTCCCAGGAGCCCGGGGTGGAGGGAACAGGGTGCTCAGGGCTGGGGCCCCGGCCTCCTGGGTGCCATCCACAGGCTCAGAGAAAGCCGGGTCCGTTAGGAAGTGATCCTGGGGTGCAGCATCGTCATAGAAACCCAGGACCAGCGTGTTGGGCTTCATGCCACCTGGGGGGGCAGAGAGGTAGGTGGGAAGGAACCCAGGGGAATCATATGGGTGGGCTGAGTTCACAGCACGCTAACGGGTGCCCACTCCCATCTGCTGACAGTGCTGTGTGTCAGCCATCAGGTATGACATGTGCATAACGTGGCCTCTTAAGGCAACATTATGCACATTTGCATAATGACTTTCCGTGTTCCCAAACACTTTCACATGCATTTATTTGATTTATCTCCATGACTAATCTCCCCCACCGAAATAGGCTAAGTGGGCCCTAAAGCTTGCTTTAACTAAGGAGCACTTCCAGTCCATGGCAGTAGGATGCATTCATTCCGGGCTTCAAGCCGCACACCTTTTCATGATGGGAGAGAGGAGTCTGACTCCACTGGCAGATGGGACCCCCTGATTAACCAAGTTCATGGCCTCGATTCCCAGGGAGATAACGCTCAGACCCTGCTAGCGGAGGATGAGAGCTCAGGACGGGGGGCTGCACAATCCGTTTCTAGGACCGCAGAGTCTTAATGATGGCCTGTCCAAAGCACGGTCCCCAGTGAGCTTACCATCTGCACACTGATGGGGCCCCGTCCTGTTGAAAGTACTTCATATTTTTAACTCATCAGATCCCTGAAGCAATGCTATGAGGTAGAGACGATTACTCACCCTCTCTTACAGATAAGGAACCTGAGACCCAGAATGGTGAAGTCACTAGCCCAAAGGCTCACGGCTGGTAAACACTGGGGCCAGGAAGTGACCATGATGTCTTGGGCACCAGAGCCTGTTCTCTTAGCCACTAAGTGGGTGGTGCGCCAACCACAAAGCCCCCAGTCCCTGCTGACAGCTCCTGGGCTTTAGCATCTGAACAACCAATATGGGATGGGATCATTTCCCCTGTGGCAGGGTTGTGTTTACAGGAAGACTCAGACCTCTTCTAAGACCCATTCTCAAGGGGCAAATGGTTTACTCAAAATCTACCAGCAAATCAAATTCTCCATGCTGGGGAACTGACTACTTAAAGGAAACCTTTCCCTTTTTATGTGAGTTATTTTCATCAGGATGAATGGCATGGAAGGAGTGGTCTCTTGGTCCGGGCTCCCCCACAAAAGATGGGACTGGAGGAGATGCTGCGGGGTCTATCTGATACTATTTCATGATGCTTGCCAACACCCCTAGAACTCCTTACCAGGTGGGAATTCCAACCAACCTTGCAAATTAAACTAGTCACACCTCCTCCTGAGCATTTTCCAGGGTTCTGATTGACATCAACCAAGCGAGCAGGGCAATGTACAACACCCGAACTTTAGCCAGACTGTTAGTGGGGTAGGAAGCATGCACTCAGGGACGGCGCAAACGTTAATCCCGAGACTGAGAAAGAAGGAGGCGGCTCAGCAGGGTTTGGAGGAAGGTGGAGTGCTGGGCCAGAGGACACGGGTCACAAAGCTGGGAACATTCCACTCCATCCAAGAGCATCAGCCACGCCCCTGCCACCCTCGGCACCCTTTATAGTGTCTGGGGGCCTTGTTAGTTACATCACTTCCCCCTTCTCTGCTCAAGGCTCAGCTGAGATACTATCTCATCACAAAACCTTGTCCACCACATCAGTGACCGCGGTCTTCCTCTTTCTGAACTCCAGTGGTTAGAAAGCATCTGCCCTGGATTTTGATGGGGGCAACGCCCAGCCTCAAATCCTCCTCCCATTGTCTCCAGGAAGACAATACGCTCTTCATAGCCTGTGCCCCAATCATGGGTCAGAAAGAAACCAAAAAAAGCCATGTCCCTCCATCTCTAGTCCTAAGGCAGCTCCTCGGAGACCTCCTCACACACTGTCTTTTATCTTTGAGGATCAAGTCCTGTCTGCACGAGACGGCGGGTTCCTTTTGGAGTCTGCAATCTGTGGTTTACTCTCGGGGGGAGGGGAGCAGAAATGGAGAGGGGCCACGGAGGGGGCCAAGGGCAGCTCACCAAGACCAGAGATCCGCAGCAGGTGCTGAGCCCCCTGGCGCACAGAGGGCGAGAGGGTGAGATCCACAAAGGCCTTCACTTGGGCCCGGTCCACCAGGCTCAGCCATGCCCCGTACTGCGGCTGCACGGGGTCTGAGGGTAGAGAGTCTGCAGAGAAGGCAGGAAAACACGTGTGGGCCAGACTCGTGCACTTCCTCCTCGAGTCCAGATCCCACGTGGGCAGAAAAGAAGGGTCTGGGCAGGGACACGGCTGGTTAGGAAGGGCGATCTGGGAAGACTGCAAGAAGTCTCAGGGATATCAAGAACACAAAGAGCATCTGGGAGCCAGAGAGAGAGAGAGAGGATGTGGGGGGTGGGGGGGGTGGTGAGTGGAGGGCAACTGACCGAGGTCTCCCAGGGTGACATGCCCCAGCACGTAGAGACCCCCTTTCTTGAGCTGGTTGGCCAATCGCAGCAGAGGCAGGGTACCCCGGGGGTTCCCCACTAGGAGCAGCAGCTGTGGCCGCCAGAACTTCACATGGTCCTTCCGGACATCCAGCCGGAGCAGGTACTTCCGCACCTGGAGTCAAGGGGAGGCGGAGGGGGGAGGAAGGGATCTGGCGGGTGGCCCCAATCTATCCCCCAGGTCTCCCTGGAGTGGGGGTGTTCCCAACCCGCCTCCTCCCCTCCCCAACCCGCCCCACACTCCCCTCCGCCAGCTCCCCGGACCTGGTGGAAAAGCAGGGCCTGGCTGACGTAGCCCCAGCTGCTGGGCCCTCCTCGAGCCGTGAGCAGGGCAGAAAGCAGGCCCATGAGGAGCAGGGAGCCGCCGGCGGCCCCGGGGCTGATGAGGAACATCATGAGCAGGCAGGAGGCCACCCCCAGCAAGCAGGTGTGCCAGGAGAAGAGGTTGAAGGTGGGGCTGGGGGCCGACAGAGAAGGAACAGTGCTCGGGGAGGCCCCGACATCACATCATCACCTCCGCTCCTGCCCCAAATCCGCCCTCTTGGTCCCAGGCCTTCCCACCATCGTTACTCCCGCCCTTCCTCTGGGGACACAGGCGGCTCCTTCTCTCACCGGAAGTTGGGAGCCGAGGCCCACTCCAGGCTCAGGCAGGACAGGTCCACGGCAGCGTAGGCCACCAAGTAGAAGACGGTGACCACAGCGGCCAGCGTGTTCAGCTTTCCGGCCAGAAGCACCAGCTGGACGAGGACCGAGAGGCTGGGTGTCCATTGCCTCCTCGGGCATGTCTCCCCGCATGCACGCCCAACCCTCCCCGGTCCCAGGAGTGTAACCGGAGGGGCTGAGGGTGAGGGCAGCTTGAGGAGGCAGGCTTACCTGCACGAGGCCCCAGGAATACAGCACAGCCCCCCAGGGGTTCCCCCCTCGGGATACCACCTTGGCCGGCGCCAGGACCACTCCTGTGCAAACAGAAAGGCAGCAGGCAGAAAGGTGAGCCCGGGGCAGAGCAGGGGACAGAGACGGACACGCAAAGGTGCACTCAGAGCCCCGCACAAGGCAGGGGAAGCCCACCGAAGAGGTCGTCCTGGGCCAGGGCGTGGAGGATGCGGGAGGCGCCAATGAGGGAGCTCATGGAGGCGGAGAGTGACGTGGCGTAGATCCCAACCAGCACCAGTGGGGGCCACAGGCTGATGGCTCGGAAGAAGCCATAGTCCTCCTGCAGCAGCACCCTGCAGACAAGGAGAGGAGGAGGAAGCCGGACATGAAGGTGCGTCCACCCCCAGGGACCTGGTGAGAACAGTGCTCTCAACATTGGGTGGGTTCAGCGCTGGGAGTTCCGGACTGACCCCATCCCTGACCTCAAGGATCATACTGATAGATCGAGTGGGCCTGCGGGGGTCAGACTGGGCATTCTACTGGTTGTCATTGGGCTGCTGTGGATTTAATCACAGGGTGGACATTCCCAACGGTATAGGCACAAGAGGCCAAATATTTATGGAGCCACAGATTGACTGGCAAGCCCCATCCCCAGACCAAGCAGCACCAGGCAGGAAGCAAATCCTGGCTTCCGGTGGGCTCTTACCATGTAACCAGCCCTCCCCATTTCAGGCATCAGCTCCGACTCACTCCCCATTTTCCATGCACCCCAACCATGTGGGCATCTCCTGCGCCCCCCAGCCAGCGCTTCACTTGGGGAACCAGGTGTGACAACTCCATTCCCACACCCAACTCCGCCCCGTGCCCAGGCACCTGTCACACGTGAAGCTGGAGAGGAAGAAAAGCAGGATGTAGATGAAGAAAGTATAGGCAACAGCAACGATCGTGCCCAGAGGAATGGCCCGGCTGGGGTCTTTCAGCTCCCCTGGAGGGAAGGGAGCAGAGGGGGAGGGTCCTCCACCAGCCCCCACGTCCCTGAGCCCCCGCAGCACCTTGTAGGGGCACCAGGTAGCAAGGCAGCCCCCTCCCCCAGGGACGCTCACCTGACATGTTGGCCCCAGCCATGATGCCCGTGCAGCCGTTAAAAAGAACAGCAAAGACGCTGGCGAAGGTCATCATGGCCCCCGTGGTGTAGTCCTTGGCGTAGCCAGCTGAGGAGGAGGGGTCATTCCCGGGGACGAAAGGGGGTCAGCCTCCCTCCTAGGGATCCAGGCGTTTTGGCCCTGCCTCCCTCCCCTCCTATTCTAAAACACACCCCCTGCCTCCCCACCATCCTGACCAGCTCACCAAGACCCCAGCCCTGGCCCCACCCCAGTCTCAGCTGACTTCAGCTCCTCCTTCTCCGCCATGCGCCTCTGTTCTTCCCTCCACACCTTCATCCACGCTCTTTCCTAGCTGCCTTCCCTCTCCCTCCTATCTGAATTTTCCAACCCCTGGGATTTCCCTGCTGGTCCAGTGGCTAGGACTCCAAGCTCCCAATACAGGGGTTCCAGATTCAATCCTTGGTCAAGGAACTAGATCTCACATGCCACAAGTAAGACCCAGCACAGCAAAACAAATAAAAATGAATTTCCCAGCCCCACTCAAGCCACCTCTAGCTCCTCCGGCTCTCACCGACCCCCTCCCCTCAGTCCATATGCAGGTCTCCCTCCTCTGGACTCCTCTGTGATTCTTATCTCCTTGAATCATACCATCCTAATATGCAATTTGTTTCCTGAGTGTACATCTTATCTCTCCAATTAAACAAGTTCCTCTAAGGCAGAGACTGTCTTGCGGTCATTCCTACCGCTCGGCTGGGCCAAACACACAGCGGTCAATACACGCCCAGCAGATTCTAATCAACCTGCACTTCTCCAGGTTCAGACCTCTCACTACTGATCATCTGACACCTGTTCTCATCCAGAGATTCCAAGCCACCCCCACCACGGGCTCACCCCTTGCCCTGAGAACCCCAGGACCCCTTCACCCAGCTCACCATCCAGATTAGCCTTCAGGGTGCTGCTGTTGAAGCCAGTGAAGTGGCCGACCTGGGGCGGCAGGGAAGAGCCGTTGGGGCCAGGCCGAGGGGCCAGCGGGATGTCCCTGGGCCCCACAGCCACAAAGCTGACCAGCACGGAGGCCAGGGAACCGGAGACCAGCAGAAATGTGAGGAAGGAGGCCCGGGCATAGAGGCCGGCCCCCAGGGTACAGACCCCGCCCACCAGGCCCAGCAGCAGGGAGCCATAGAGCAGGCTCCAGCCGTAGCCCTGGGGCAGGACCCGGAGGCCACTGGACCCCGAGGCATCTGCAGAGAGAAAGAACAGAGTTAGATGGCCACGCCTCCAAGAAGGGACCCCAGTCATGACTCAAAGCAGGCACAGACCCCATCTCTGGCCCACTTGTCCACAGAAAGGCCATCTTTCCCACTCCCCCACCCAACTGGACTCCCCTGGTGGCTCAGACGGTAACGAATCCACCTGTAATGCAAGAGACCCAGGTTCGATCCCTGGATCAGGAATATCCCCTGGAGGAGGGAATGGCAACCCACTCCAGTATTCTTGCCTGGAGAATCCCATGGACAGAGGAGCCTGGCAGGCTACAGTCCATGGGGTCTCAAAGAGTCAGACATGACTGAGTAACTAACACTTCACCCAACTGTACTTCAGCATCCTAGCCCTCCCTGGGCGGGGGAGGGGGGGTACCAGCAATCTTGCTTTGTCAATTTTCAGAGTATTAGCCTGCCCCCACCCCCTGACTAGATGGCGAGCTCCTCGTGGGCCAGGACGTTCTCTCGGATGTCTGCATGAGGCTGGGCACACAGCAGGCGCTCAAGAAAGTGCGTCTCTCCCAGGAGAGGGATTCTCCCCCTGCTGTGATCCCAGAATCCCTGACCCTGCAAATCCTCAGGGCCACCCAGACCAGAGTGGGGAGCACAGACCAGCCCCGAAGACGTCAAGTATGGCCTCCACCAGCCCCAGCAGGGAGACGGCGCAGCCACAGACATTAGCCAGGTAGAACATCAGGCCGATGCTGCCGCCAACCTCGGGCCCCAGAGTCCGACTGATCATGACTGAAAGTGGAAGTAGGGGGTGACTGTCAAGGGAAAAGAAACTGAACCAGAATGGGAGGCAGGGCCCAGGCACACAGCATGGTGCAGCTGGTCCTCCAGGCCTCGTCTCCCAGAACGCATGGGACTGTTCCCAGAGGTGGCATGTCCCATTATGGCCACTCCCAAGCCACGTGGCTTTGTCCAAGTCACCAGTGCTCTTGAATCTGACAGGACTGTTAGAACCAAAATGGCAGCTGGGGAGACACCTGGCGGACTCGACGACGGTGGCTCTACCATGTAAGGCCACGCTGGTGACCTTCTCCATACCAACCTGTCCACTGGATGTTCATTAGAACTGGCCTGCACCCCGGGAGACGCAGGGAGGGCCCTCTCCTCCCCCCACGAGACAGAAGGGCCCAGACCCCCCCCCCGTCCGCCCACAGCTGAGGATACAGTAGGCTCCGCCCCCTCGCACGGCTCCATTGGTGGCGATGGCACAGACGGACAGCACCGTGAGGGCCAGGATGACGTAGGCAACCAGGAGCATGGCCAAAGCCTGAAGCAGACCAGCATGACCCACCACAAACCCTGGGACAGGAGTGGCGAAGCAGGTCGGACTGCGGCTCGCCCATCCCGCCCCTCCCACCCCAACCCAGTCATCAGTTACCCCGGGGCAGAGCTAAGCCCAAGGCCACAGGGAGCCCCTCCCCCAGGCCCTTCATTCACCAGCATCTCCCAGGGCCCTTCCCCAACCTCATTCCAGTCCCACCCTCGAGTAAACCAGCACCAACTCACCAATCCTCAAGAAGACCACTATACTGAACATGGACAGGACCGTGGGCACCACCACACCCAGGAAGGTGGAGAGTTTCCGGGCCGGTGCCCCTCCAGGACCTCCAGCCCCATTGGCAGGGAAGGAAACCCCCTCCTCCCCCAGGAGCCGGTAGGCCAGCAGAGGAGAGTTCTCACTGGCCATGGTCGGGAGCGGGCAGAGGAAGCCACTAACGGGTCACCAGGCCTGCAAAGAGTTTGCTGAGTGGAAGCAGCTCTGTGGAGACCCACAAAACACCTCTAATCAAACACCCAGAAACTTCCTCCAAAAGGAATCACACACACACACTCACGTCCACCAGCAACTCCGAGAGCTAATGGGGGTGGGGGTGGGGGGAGCGGGCAGGCTGATCCTGGCCACTGCCCCACCAATCGCAGGCTCCAAGCCTCAGGACTGGGTACCAAGGCCCCTCCCAGCTCCTGGGGCCACCCCTTCCCCCATATCCCTGAGAGGAGGGGTGGCAGTGGCTCTGGAAAGGTGCAAACATCCTCCACCTTCTTAACCAGCAGCACAAGAGGAAGCAAATCCCTCAAAGGGGAAGTGAGTTATGGACAGGAGGCCCTCCTCCACCGTTCCTCCGGGGTCCTGAGCCTTCCCCCAAGATCCTCCATGCAATCACCTCAACCCCGGGCAATAGGAAACTTCTCAATCTTCCAAAGCCCCGCCCTCCATCAACCCTCTTCCCTCAGCCCATCTCAGACAGCCTCCTCTCTCTCTAACCTCACCAGATTCCTCCCACCCACACAAGGCATCCCCCAAACTCTACCGTTCCCGCCACTCCCCGACGACCACAACAAAAACATCATCGGCCTGCCACCCAAGGTGGCACCCTGCACCGGTTCCTCCCGACTTTCTCCCCCGGGCGGGTTGAAGCGGGCCGAGATTCGCTTCTCCCCCGCCAGGCGCACCCTCACAGCCCGGGTGTGGCAGCGCGCTCACTCACCCACTGGAGGACGCAGCCGCTCGGGGGTGATCCCCGAGAGCGGGAGGGGTCTGCTATTGGCTGAGGGGGCGCGGTGCCGGAAAAGCCAGCTGCGGCTACCGGGATGCCAGGCCCGGAGCCTACCCCACCACCAGCACACACGCGCCCCATTGGTCCCCGAGCCCGGCCCCGCCCCGTGGGCGCGCCCGGGGGAAGCCCCGCCCCACCGGGCTCACGCTGGAAGCGCGGCTCCCCGCCCCACGTGCGCTCGTGGTGCCAGGGGTCGCCCCTCAGATGCAGGTCTCCGGCACGGTGTGGGCCACAGCTCCCACTGCACCCATCACCCTGGTGCAAACGAGCGCCCGCCGAGTGGGCGGGACCCCACTCGGAGCTGGGCGGTGACGCTACTGAAAGGGGCGTGGCCTGATGGCGGAAGGCCTTGGGCGGGTGGGCGGGGCCACGACACCTGGCCCAGGTGCGCCGCTAGGAAGGCGGGGCCCTGTCGACCTACGCCTTAAGGGGTCCGCCTCTTCCAGCCTCCGGGATCCCCATCCAGTGCACCAGGTTCCAGCCCCAGCCCTCCCCTAGCGCCGGGTCCAGCCCACCGGCTGCTCTCCTCGCTTCCACCACCTGAGGGCGCCATTGGCTGCCGATCCGGGCGAGCCCTGGAGGCGCTGGCCTCGGTTGGTTTCAGTCTCGACCCCCGCCCGCTCTCGTGATTCCCTGCAAGGAAGCCCCCTCCAGCAGGAAGTACAGGACTTGTGAACCTTCAGGAGTCCGGATTCCCCTACTAACTCTTTCCGGCCTTCCCAGCTGGCTCCGCGATATAGAATCCGCCTGCAATGCAGGAGAGACGGAGACGCGGATTCAATCCCTGGGACGGAAGGTCCCCTGGAGAAAGAAATGGAAGATTCCCTGTAGATGAAAATGGCAACCCACTCCAGTATTCTTGCTGGGGAAATCCCATGGACAAGAAAAGCCTGGCAGGCTGCAGTCCTGCAAGAGTCAGACACCACTTAGTGACTAAACCACCACCGCCCACCTCAACTCTTTAGAGGTATGGTCGACATTGGCACTACCTGGCAACATCCCATCCGTCAACTGTAGATAGATCCTCCTGCATAAGGTTGCAGTGCGAGTTCAATAAACTTGAACAGGCACTTGAGAACAATACTGAAATGTCCAACAAACTATCTGCATACCGTACTGTATTAAATATGCATAAGCACTTTGTGAGATGGATCCTGCTATGATTTCCATTTTTCACAATAGGAAATCGAAGCTTGGAGAACTTCAGTAATAATTTCCTAACTTTCATAGAGGCCTTTGTGGTTACACTGTCATTTGAGCCTCAGGAAATGAACACTGCTTTTCCTGCCACTGGGCTTTGGCTGTAAATTAGCTGTAACGTTTCCCTAGGAGAGGAAGAGATTCAAACCAGTGCAAATGTGGCTTTGCCAGAGAGCGGTCTCATGAGCAGTAAACTCCTGGCATTTTCATCAGTCATCCCTGCTACCCACGACACAGAGCTTGACTCCAGGGTCTCTCTCACATCCCTCCTATTACAATTTTTGGTGATTTCAATATCCACATTGATGAGACTTCCAACACTCTGGGCTGGCATGTGCTTAAGCTCCACTTCTGCATAGATCTCGCCCTCCATCCCACCCAATGGTTATGCCTAGACTTTATCATTACCAATAACTGGACCCCTTCCTCTTTTCGTCCATCACTTCTAGTTATGCCTGTTGAGGAAAAATATTAATCTGACACTTACTAGAACAACAGGAAAGACTTTATTCAGGGCTACTGCAATAGGTGTCAAGACACAATAGGGGAGAAAGAGTGTGCTCAACTCCAAACACAGCAAAGAAAGCTGGGGATTTATAGCCAACAAGCGGAATGAGGGGTTCAGTGAATGGAAAATTACTAAGAGGAAGCGCCAAGCATAGGAGGATTCCAGCTAAAGAGGCTTAACAGGATCCTTGCTGAAGGAAGGCCAGGGTGATCAATTATGAAGGGCGGATGGATTCTCTCTAAACTGGGCTCGACATGCCCAGCAAGGATGACAGCCAAGGTGGAGGCCAAGTACAGAAGAAGTTTCAGAGGAACCTGACCGAAGTTTGATGAAGAAGAGGGTCCTTGTCGTGCCCTGACCCCAGCAATCCTCCACCTCACTGGACCCCCAATTCATCGATCCTGCCCTCTGCCCACTGCCCTCCACTCACTTCCCTTGTTACCCAGCTTCGAGGTCACAGTCAGTGAAAAGCACTGCCTTGCCCCTCGCTCACTTTCTAACACCTTCCGGCAAAATCTCAGCCCTGGTAAATGTTAACTGTCCTCTTCAGTCTCCTTCGCTGGCTCCTCCTCCTCTCTTGGAGGAACATCCAAGAGGCCCCATTGGACCAGAGGCTCCATTGAGCACTAGAAGCTCAGTCCACAGACTTCTTTTAACCACTTACACCCACTCCCTTGGTGATCTCATCCAATCTCCTCTTTTGAAATACCTCCTCTATAGGAGTGCCGAAAGGGTGCATCTCCAGCCCAGATCTCTACTCTGAACTTCCGACTGTATGTATGTCCAAGAACATGCTAACACCTGGGCCTGGACATCAAATGGGCAACTCAAACTTGGCATGTCCAAAATCCAATGCCTGACCACAGCCCACTCTTATTTTGGTTGTCCCACTTCCCCAGTAGCTCAGGTCAAAAGCCTTGGGGTTATGTTCGAATACTCTTTCACACAACCCACATCCAACCCATAACAATTTCTTTGGCCAGTAGTTTTAAAATACAACCAGTATCCAACTGCAAATACTACATTAGTCCAGGTCGCCATTATCTCTTGTCTGCATTATTGCAACAGCCCCCTAACTGATGGGCTTGCTTCTGCCCTGGCCCCTACAGTCAATCCTAAAGGAAATCAACCCTGAATATTCATTGGAAGGACTGATGCTGAAGCTGAAGTTCCAGTATTTTGGCCACCTGATGCAAAGGGCTGACTGGTTGGAAAAGACCCTTGTGCTGGGAAAGATTGAAGGCAGGAGAAGGGGGCAATAGATGATGAGATCGTTAGATGGCATCATCAACTCAATGGACATGAGTGTGAGCAAACTCCAGGAGATAGTGAAGGACAGGGAAGCCTGGCAGTCCGCAGTCCATGGGGTCGCAGAGTCGGACAGGATTGAGCGACAGAACAACTAAAGTCTATTCTTAACAGATTAGTTATGCTAGTAAAATAAGTGTCCGTTCAGGACACTACTCTTTTCAAAACTGTCCAATGGTTTCTCATTTTCCTCATAATAAAAGTCAAAGGCTCTGATACCTAAGGTAACCATACCTACCTCCTGATTCATTGACTACAGTCCGACTACCATCGTTTATGCCTGTTGCCTTGGCATATGTAGTAACAGTACCTGTTCGCTCAGAAGTCGTCTATATATTACATGGGTACCTTACTCATGAAGCCCTACCGGATCTTCATCTCGTCCTCACCTCCCCTGACCTTGCACCACAATGACCTCTGGGCTGGTCCCAACAAGGCGCTATGAGCACACACCCAAAGAATCTCCTTTGTCTTCTGGACTCAAGTATTATCTTATTAGTGAAATCTTCTCTGCCAGTCCCACTTAAAATTAAACTGCGCCTTCCTTCCCATCCCACTTTCCCATTTTCCTCTTGTTTTTTTTTCCCCCCCTCCATAGTGCTTAACACCATCTAATACGTGTCCTTTACTGGTTTCTCATGTTCACTGAGAAATGTAAAGCGAAGCTCCACAAAAAGTTAAGCTCCCAATAGGAAGCTAAGCTGCACAAAGTAGGAATTTCTCTTTGCCTCGCTGCTTTAGTTGCAGTACTTCTCACAGTCCCGGGCACCCGAGGGGCCCTCAAAAGCGATGCATCAACTGCTCGCGGAACCATCTCAAACCTAGGGCTTACTCCGCACTGATTCCTTTGGCCCCGCCCCGCCCGCTCGGACGGGAAGATGGCGGCGTCCAGGGGGCCTCAGAAAGACGGCAACCAACGAGACGGCGCCGGCTCGCTAGAGCGTACGCGCCGCCGCTTAGTCTGCGGTTGCGTCCTGGGAAGGCGCGAATTCAGAGAGTGTGTTGGTCTTCCTCCCCACCATTTTTAAAGGAGAAAGGAATTAACTAATCCTCAGAAAGTGCTCTGTCTGACTTGCCCGCTGTCTCCCTACCGCTGGGGGTTCCCGGATCCGAGGCGTGTTAGGACGCGGTTGTGGGATTCAGGATCTAGGTTTTTCTCCCCTCGTGTTGGCTCCCGGATCTACCTGTTAGGACATCTCAGGGTATCCACCCAGCCTCCAGTTCGAGGGATCCCCGAACACACACGCGGACCGCCCCCTCGGAGACAGGACGCCCAATCCCCGCCTCCAGGTGCCCCACTCCGAGTTCAGGCCCTAAATGCTACCTCCCCGGAGATCCACCCTCCCTACTCTCGGCGTGAGCTCCCCAGGATTAAGTCTTGTGAATCCCGACCACCCCCCGCCTCCCCCAGGCCCCAGGGGCAGATGAGCCCTTGGCCACCGCCCCTCCAATTTCCTGCAGACCCAGCAAACAAAAGGCTCGGGAAGAGAGGCGAGGCTGAGCAGGGCGCCCTTCCTGCAGGAACAGCTGATGGAGCAAAATGACCCAGGAGGGAGAGGAGGGGAGGGATGAAATTCCAGGGTTCCAGGAGGACCGCAGCAGGAGGCCAGACTCTTGGATCTCGGGGAAGAAGGGAGGGAGTCCCGGAAAGTGGATGTGCAAGGCCCAGGCAGGACACTACAGTTTGCTGGGCTCTGTCAGATCCCAGCAGCCCTGGTGGGGGTGATGTAAGCCGTAGGGAATGGAGGGGGTGGGGGGAACACTGAATTTCAGGTGAGCTCTCAGGCCCCTAGGCTGGAGCGGTGGGGGCTGGGAGAGCCCTGAAGCCCTACGTCATCTCCTCTGGGGCCCAGCCTACCGCCCCCTGGCCCGACCTGCTACCCTCGGTGAGGGCCCCACCCTGGCCTGGCTTCCTGCTCCTCCCCAGCCACAGAGCTTTCCCTGCCAAGCTCAGGAACCAGCCCGGGGGCTTCTGGTCTCTTCAGAGCTTTGGTAGCCTAGCCCCCAGACGCGCAGAGTCCTTACGTTCCCTCCTAGAGCCTTTGCCCCTGCCCCCATCCCTGTCATGGACACAATGGTCTGGGAAGGGCCCCCGTCCAGTGGGTGGGGGGATCTGGCGTGGAGAGGGGGCTTGGCCTCACATCCTGTCAGGCTGCCAAGGGAAGAGAGGAAACAAAAGACTTCCCCCTGCTGAGACAATGAGCCTCCCATTACCTCCCCCCCCCCCACTAACTACCTCCCCACCCCTCCCTTTCTGCCCTGGCCCCCAGCCCCCCAGCCCCGGTTGTCTACCTCCTTGGCCTCGGGTAGCCTCAGCTAGCCTCGGCCTCTGCGCTGAGCTCTGCCCTTTCTCCTGCCTTCCTTCCGATCAGCTCGCACTGATGCTTGCTCCCAGTCCTGGCTGTTTCAGCCCCCTGCCATCCCATCAGTACTCAGGGCCCCTTCTGTCCCCAGAGCCAAGACTGGGGCCTGGCTGGGCAAGGCTCTGGTGAATGTTAGGAGGTCAATTACACCCTCATTAACGGCTAGTGGGAAGTAGGAGCTCCAGGAGGGAAAGCATCCAAGGCCACCGAGAGAGGGATGTGCCCTCAGCCTGGCCTGGGTGAGAGAGGAAGGAGGGAAAGGGCACAGGTGTCCTCCAGGTCCTTGGAGGTGGGGCTGGAAGGCCATCCTGGTGCTGAGTGCGGAGTCTGGCCCACCTGCTGGCTACTAGCTGAGTGCGTTGGACAGGTCACTTAACCTTCTGAGCCTGCCTCATTTTTAAAGTGGAAATCATAATAACGCCCATCCTGCCCCTCTCACGGGGTTGTTACGTTTTAAATATGATAATGTTTGTTTGGGGGAAAAGAAGAGGAAGTAGGTAGTAAAGTTTTCCTTAGTCTTCTCAATCTCTGCAACCTCCTCCACACCCCTCATTCCCACCCCCAGCAGTTTCCATCACCATCATGTGACAATAACTCCCAAACCAGTACCTCCAGCCAAAAAGCTCTCTGAGCTGCAGACCCAATGAGCTCAGATCTAGTTGACTTCTGACCCAGATGCCTGAAGGTACACAGGGATCTGAAATACAACATGCCCAGCATGTGCCCCATCCCTGCCCCTGTGGTCTCCATTTTATTAGCTCCTACCAGGTTGCCCTTGAGAGTCCCTTGGGCAGCAAGGAGATCAAGTCAGTCAATCCTAAAGGAAATCAGTCCTGAATATTCATTGGAAGGACTGAAGCTGAAACTCCAATACTTTGGCCACCTGATGCAAAGAACTGACTCATTGGAAAAGACCCTGATGCTGGGAAAGATTGAAGGCAGGAGGAGAAGGGGATGACAGAGGATGAGATGGTTGGATGGCATCACCGACTTGATGGACATGAGTTTGAGTATGCTCCGGGAGTTAGCAATGGACAGGGAAGCCTGGCGTGCTGCAGTACATAGAGTCGCAGAATTGGACACAACTGAGCAACTGAACTGAACTGACTGACCAAGGTGCCAAAGTCTGAAAGTTGAATCATATTTGTTTTCCTCTCCCAGCCAGGCTTCGGGTCCTGTCCACTCTAGTTCCCTGACATCTTTTGAATTCTCCCCTCACTGTCGTTTGAAGAACTGCATGTGGTTTCCCTGCCTTCAGTCTTGATCGATTTCAATCTACTCTCCAAAGTTGTACAAGCCAAGCAAGGACTTTCTATACTGATCTGACGATGTCACTTCTTTGCCTAAAACGCTTCTGACTCAGGCTTCCCTGGCTGGCAATCAGGGTGGTTAAGACTCCCCACTTCCACTGCAAGAAGCTCGGGTCAGATCCCTGGTTGGGTAAGTTACACGTGCCTTTAGGTTCAGCCAAAAAAAAAGAAAGAAATTACAATATAATAGGATAATAAAAGTTTGCTTTAAAAATGTATCTTTAGCTCCCCAGGTACTCAGGACAAGTGCACCTCTGGAAGGTCCCATAAAGATGGAGACTGGTTCTTGCTCACCTCCAGCTCACCCACTGTCACTGCCCTGGCACCCCAGACCGGGCATCGTGAACACTGGCAGCTTGAGGACAGTCTCACCACATCCATGCTTTTGTACTTGCTGCTTCTTCTGCCTTGCAAGCAACCTTTCCCACCAATCTCCTCCAGGACTCATTCAGACAGCATTGTCTTCTCCAGAAAACTCACCTTGAACCTGCCGATTGGATCCATGTGCTTCCTCCATGATCCCATAGGACCCTCTGCCTACCACCCTTTATGCTCAACACATAGCCTCCTATGTTCTGTGGAGATTTTATGACAATTTCTATCCCTGGATTGTCAAGTCCTAGAAGGTAGAGAATCATGTTGTGTCCCCAGTCCTGTTTCAATAGTAATTGTTCTAAAAATAAACTGGGTAAATTAAAGATCAGGGTCTTCCCTGGTGGTCTAGTGGTTAGGAATGCACCTTCCAATGCAAGTTTGATCCCGGTTCGGGGAACTAGGATCCTACATGCCATGCCATGGGGCAACTAAGCCCCCACTGCAGCTCCTGAGCCCACATGTTCTAGGTGCTGTGCAGTGCAACTAGAGAAAGTCCACTCATGGCAAGGAAGACCCAGGGAAACAAACAAACCAAAAAAAAAAGAGACTAACCAATAAGGAGATAGTCAACAAATATTTATTAGCATCTACTATGAGAGAGGCTTGCATGGGACTTCAAGTAAACACAACATGTAACCTTTTATGAAGCTTAGAGCCACATACAAGCAAATACACAGTCACTAATAAATTATATTAATAAAAGCATGTGTCTATTACAACTTTGTATATGATGAGTTCAGGAAGGTTTGTGGTGGTCATGTAAGGAGTGGATTCAGATTTTGTGGGCCCTGATGTTTTTACAATGTGGGGGAACCCACTTTAAGAAAACAAAAATAAAACCATGAATATAAAATTAGGTGTAAAAGTTAAAGTTTACTTAGATTGAGCAATCACAACTGGCTGCACTGTTAAGATGACAGACACCATAAATATCACAAAATCTAGAAAAACAATACAATATTTGTAGTTAATAACTGCCAACAGATCACTATAATTCTATCATGTCCTGTCTTTTAGATGTGAACTCTGACCATCTCTTCATATTATGATTTTCTATTATTTTCTATTCTCTCTCTCTCTCTTTCTCTAGTATGGCTGATTGAATTTTTTTCTTTCATTATTGAGAATTTCTAAAAATCTCATTGAGAAAAAAAAAATCTCATTGAGCTTTACAACTTATTTTTGGTACCATCAAAATCTCTATCAAATTCCTTTTGTGCAAGAGGTGTGAGATTTGGGGCCATTTCTAATGTTCTCCTGCTGTGACTAACCTTGAACACTGTTTAAATGGATGGTATCATTAACTCAGGTAGTAGCAGGAGCCTGGAAGGTGAGAGATGCCTAAACTTAAAACTTTCTGAGCTCCCAGATAAACTTAACTCTAGACTGACAGAGTCAGGTGGTCCTTACAAGGAGGGGCTGGGATATGGGAAAAGGAGAGACAATTTCTACAACTGATGTTGAAAGGGATGGCTTCTTTGTTGTTTAATACATAAAGAAAAGAAAAAAAAAAAAAATCCTAACTCCAAGTCCACTCCAAACAACTGTAACCATGTGGCTAGCATAAAGAAAACCCTACCAGCTGTTGGGGGTGGGGGGTGCCCCACACAGGTACTGCCACTGGCAGTGTATCGAACATGGACAAGGAACAGTGGCAATAGCCTAATAGCCTAATAGCTGGGGTGGGAAAACAGCAAAGTACTCTAAGTGCCCTAATAATGAAGAAAGGTGGGCTTGAGACTTGTTGGGGTCTGTGGAGCCAGCGTCAAACCAGGTAGTGCCATGGATGCTCACCTGTGTAATTTAACCCGGTGGATACTGAACTAGCTTACCTCCAAAGTGGTTCTGGGTGGTAGGAAGCTGGAGGAAACAATCTCACACCCACAGAAGAGGCAGAGCATGGTTTTTGAGCACTTGAGTGTATCATCTCCATGGAAGAGGGAAATAATGGGATCTCCACCAGAGCATACATCTTTCAGGTCAGGAGCCCTGTTTTACAAACAAATCTTGCAAACTGGCAGAGTGATCACTTGGCACATAGTAGATGTTCAATAAAGGTTTCGTTTTATTCACTCTTTGATTGGTAAACACCAGGTGACTCAGTGGTAAAGAATCCCCCTGCCAATGCAGGAGATTTGGTTTCTATCCCTGGGTCAGGAAGATCCCTGGAGAAGGAAAGAGCAACCCACTCCAGTATTTTTGCCTAGAGAATCCCATAGACAGAGGACTACAGTCCATGGGGTCGCAAAAGAATTGGACACAACACAGCGACTTAACAACAGGTATTAGGAACTGGCTTACATGCTGTGGGATGAGGGCTGAGGACCCATGATAAGGGATCGACTGTGTATATTCTTCCCTGTGGTGCTCTGCTCCCTCTTGCTGAGGGAGGTGCTCAGGGGTCAGAAATACAGGGTTTGAATCTGTGATGAGCTGTTGCATCTCTTCACCCCTCTGACTCACCAGCCCATCACTCCATCCAGCCTGATTTCTCGGGGCACCTGGGTTTCCTTTCCATTCAGGCCATGCACCACCCCCCTCACCCACCCCCACCAAGATGATGAACTGCCTCCCCCATTAAAGGAGAGGAGTTAAGCAACCAAGAGCCTGAGGGGGATTGAGGGCAGGGCCCAGGAGGAGACACAAATATAACTTTTAGAGGCTGGAGAATCAGTACAGGTTGAGAGCAGTCAGAGGGTGTCGGGAGGAGATGGATAACCTGGAGGAGAGGCTGAGTAAGGAGGGAGACGGGGCTTGGATAGGGGAGGGAGGAGGTAATTCCCAGCTCTGACCTGGTCTGCCTGGCTCCAGCCAAGCCGGCTGTTTCCTGCCCTCCGTGACCCCCCACCCCGGAGCAGGACCCAGGCAGGGCCACGAGGAAGGGCAGGGGTGTGGGGAGCACCACTTGCAGCAGAAAGATAAGTGCGCTGGGACAAGAGGTCTTTACAGGCCTTGCTGTCCTCACCGTGGGTTAGAGGGGCTTGGCAGCCGTGCAAACATCTAGGACTCCTCTCTCCCTCTCTCTTGGCTCCTGGGCTCCTCAAGACTCTGTCCCCCTTAACTGCCTTCTGAATCTAAGCTCTTTCCTTCCAGCTCTTCCACTGGCCGACTCCTGCAGTACTGTCTTGGTCTCCCCAAGACCCACCCCACGGGTGCCCAGACAGAACCGGGCTGGGGGGAGGAGCTGCTTTTCTGTGGCTCCCCTCTAACTGATGAGATGGACAGGGAATGGCCACGAAAGGAAGGGCCCTCCCAGCCACGCGGAGGGCCCCCAGGAGCCAGACAGGAAACAGCTTCAGGAAAGACAGACAGCATCAGACCCGGCCCGAGTCCAAGGGGTCAAGGCTGAGGGCAGCGCGGGAGCCCTGCTAAACGCGACGGTGGCAGAGAGAGGACCATGATTTGGGAATCTGGCCCTCCTTCTTTCGGATCCAAGTACCTTTTATTTACCCTTGCTTGCTCCCCATCTCAACCCAGGTGCCCCGTTCCTCCGCACGTTTTCAGCGCTAGGTTGCGCGCATAGTAGGTCCCCAATATTTAATGTTTGTTGAATGACTGTGTGAACATTCGCTCCACGGTTATCTAAGCTGCGATCGCTGCCTCGGGGCCCGCTGGGCCACCCCTCCGTCCTCAAAAGTTTCCCTCCAAACAAGGTCCCCTGCGCCAACTAGGGGGTGGTGGGAGAATCCAGGAGAAGAATCCGAAGTCCGCAGGAAGCATCCGACAGGGCTTCGCGTGTGCGGCCCTCCAAGCTGCTGGGTGCGTTTCTCTGCTCCCTGGTGTCTGCTGGGCTCAGGCCTGCCCCGGACGGGGGCGGTGGCAGTGGGGCGCCGGGGGGAGGGGGCAGGCATCCCTGGGCCCCAGCCCCGACACGCGCGGTCCGGGCCAGGGCGCACGGCCTCGGTGCAGGTCCGGGCGGTCCCCCGCTCGGCGCCCGCCGCCCCTCCCCCTTCTCCAAACTTTCTCCCAACTTCCCGACCTGCTCCGCTCAGCGCCCCGCTCAGCTTCCCTCATGAATTATTCAGCAGCGCGCGCTCCAATCAGCGCGCCCCGGCCCCCTCGCCCAGCCGCGGCTGGGGGGTGGGGGAGCTCCCCCCGCCCCCCGCGCGCCCCTCCCTCCCGGCCAGGCGCCGCCCGGCCCAGTCCCCAGCCCGGCCCAGCCCCAGCCCGCCCGGCCCGCGCCGCAGTCTCCCTCCCTCCCGCTCCGCTCCCCGCTCGTCTCTCACCCTCCCCGCCGGCGCGGAGCGCACTCGGCCCGGCGGCACGAGCAGCGCCACTCCAGGGAGGGGGGGAGACCGCGAGCGGCCGGCCCACCCCCAGCAGCCTGCTGGGGCGGGACCCCGAGGCCCCGGAGGGACCCCGACTCCAGCCACGTCTAGCTCTGCGCCCGCCCGGCGCAGCCGCTCCCAAGACGCCCCCCGCCTTCTCGTCTGCGCGCGCGGCGGGGACGCGGGGCCACACCTGGGCGCCGCCGCCCGGTGCCCGGCGCGCCCGCATGGGCCCGCGCTGAGGGCCCCGAGCGAGTCCCGTGCGGGGAGTCGGCATCCACCCGCACCGGCGGGGGTTCAGACCTGGGGGGGCTAGAGCCCCCCAAACTCGGATCGGATCCAACAGGAGTGAGGCGGCGCCATGGAGCTCCGGGCTCTGCTCTGCTGGGCTTCGCTTGCAGCCGCCCTAGAAGGTAAGTTCCCTTGGGGGCACCCCAGCCCTTCTGGGGCCCCCGAAGAGGGGCTTCGGAGTGGAAGGGCCGACCTCTGTCTCCCCCTAAACCGGCACCCCAACCCCAAACGCTCCGGACCAATAGTGCTAGCGCTGGAGGGGGGCGGGGAGGAGGCGGCCCAGCGGGGAGTGGAGTTTTCTTTTGTTTGGGAAAGACTTGGAGTCGAGCTCCGTCCCGGGACGTGCCCCGGTCCCGGCTCCCCGAACTCTTAAACTCGCGTCTCCAGACGCCCTTGGCAGCCTTTCGTTTTCTCCCGACTCCAACCTGCAGAGCTCTCTCCAGAGTTTCTGTCCCTCTTCCCACCTCTGCCAAACAGGAGGAAACATTTCTGGAGGAACGAGAGGACAGGCAGAACTTTGTGCTAGGCCATAAAACTCCGCCCGCCCCCCATTCCAGAGCGTTCACACCTTGATCCTACAACAACCACTGCCGCAGTAGGGGATGGCCGCCTTCTGCACTCAAGTCTCCAAACCTCCCAATCTCTCCCCAGTTCGCGGCCCCTGGAGCAGGGAGGCTCCCGCCCTGTCTTCCCCAGGCTGCATGCCAGCCCTTTAAATGCAGTGTAGACCCCAGCCCTTGCCCCAGTCCCACCAGAGTCCTTTTCCCTAACCCTAGCCTCCCTCTTGTCCCCTGAACTCAGCCTGACTTCTGTCTCCTAGGCTCTCTTAAATTTCTACTTTTTCTGCAAGGCTGCAAATGTTACTTTATCCATGAGCCTCTGCCCTCCCCTCAACCTCTAGCAGGGGAGCGGAGAGCCCTATAAACCCTCCTCCCACAACCCTAATCTCCTTTCAATGAGTTGCCTCCTTCCCCTCCTTCACTGCCTGCAATCAAAGGGGTCTTTGGGGAGTGGGCCATGGGGGGCTGCTGAATAGAAGGAATCAAAGGCAGTTGGAAACGCGTCTCCTCCAGGCTGGGCAGTGCTGCTCTGGACTGGGGATCAAAGGCAGGGTGTGGGGGAGAAGGGAGACTTGCTGGGCTCAGGAAGACCAAGAAAGAACCAGAGGGAGAGAGGGGGGAAGGCGAAGCAGGGAGAAAACCCGCCAGGATGACGTGTGGTGAGAGAAAGAAAGATGCCAAGGGGAACAGGGAGTAACTTCGAATTCCTGTTACCTAAGTGCTTGCCGAGCCCAAGGCCCGCTGCTCTGTGCTTTCAGTTTTCACCGTCCCAACAACCCTGTGGTGGGAAGTATTGTTAGCCCCATTTTACAGGTGAGCAGACTGAGGCAGGCGTTCAGTCTTTTATCCAAGGCCCTGTGCCTCAGTGAAGGTGAAAGATGGGAGAAAGAAAGCAGAGTGACAGTCAGAGAGATGGAGGTGGCCGGAGAGCGGGGGAGAGGTGAGAGGCAGGAGAAGTGCTCCAAGAGAGGGAGGCAGGCAGGGCCGCGGTAGGATGAGAGAAAAGGGAGCCGCTTGGAGCGCCCAGGACAGCCCGAAACAGACAGTGTGTAAATTGGAGACAGGAAAACACTCTCCAGTCTGGAACAATGGAGGGTGGAGACGGCTGCCTCTATCCACCCGCTTCCCAGAACCCGGGCATCCTGTCCCCAGCGTGCCGGGCTGTCTCCTGCCACCCATGGGGGGCCTGGGCCTCTCCTCGGGCGGGCCAGGCCTCCGCCTGACCCCTGGCCTTCAGTGGACATCACCTGGTCTCTGGGAGGAGGCTGCCCCACCCACCTGCCTTCCTGTCTCTCCTACAGTCAGGCCAGGGGGGACCTGGGCCCAGGTGCGCTGCAGGCTCCTCCCCATCAGACCTGTAGCGTCCCCCTCCCCACATCTCCCAGGGGATTCCCCTACCCTCCCTCCACCCTCCTCCAGAGCAGTTCTCCTAATCCCCCCTTCCGCCAGAGCCCCACCCCTCCCCTCCCCTCCTCCGACACCCCTCCCCCGAGGCCAGAGCCCAGCCAGGTGTACTCACCCCCCCCATACTCACACCCCTAAAATCCCCTCCCCTCTTCTTTCCCATAACCAAATCCAGATGTGAGGCTTCCCAGACAGAGGCCGAGGGCAGGGAACCCCAGCATCCTGGCCTCCAGGATGTCCTCTTCCGAGGACAGCTAGGCAGTGGGGAGGGGATGGGGTTCGGGGCTGGGGTGTTTGGTCTGAAGGATCAGAGTTGGGGGAACAGAGACAGCATCTTTGCGTTTTGGGGAGGGACTGCAGAGGCGGAGGGACACCCTGATAGGAGGGGTGTCCCCCTACCCCACGTCAGGTCTGGGCTCGAGTTTGGCCCTTTCTAAGCTGTTTGCCCGTTTTTCTCCCTTTCAGCAGCTGTGTCTCCCCTCCTCTGGGGCACAGCAGGTCACAGAGGCCTGGACCTGGGGGTCCTGGGGGTCAGCTCCCTGCCTGCCAGCTGTCAGGGGCGGGGCTGGCGCTCAGAAAAGAGGCTTGAAATCTGGGTGCGGGTGGGAGGGTGGACAGAGGACAAGGCAGGTTCCCCTCCTCGGCCTCTCTGGGGAGCCTGCTTCCAGGGCTTCCTGTGTCTCTCCCAAGCTCCAGCTGATTCTGTCTGTCTGTCTGTCTGTCTCAGAGACCCTGCTGAACACAAAATTGGAAACTGCCGATCTGAAGTGGGTGACGTTCCCTCAGGTGGACAGTGGGCAGGTAAGAGCTGGGGCTTGGGAGGAAAACCGATGGGGATGGGGGGGTCACCGTGCTGCTGCTTCCGGCGCCACACACCCAAGCCCCGCATCTCAGCAGTCAGGGCAGGTGTCATCTGAGCCTTCGCTCTGCGAGGGTCGCCCCAGCCTGCCTCCTTGCCCACTGGCTCAGCAGCCCCCCTTCTCCTCACAGTGGGAGGAGCTGAGCGGCCTGGACGAGGAGCAGCACAGCGTTCGGACCTACGAGGTGTGTGACATGCAGCGGGCCCCAGGCCTGGCCCACTGGCTGCGCACGGGCTGGGTCCCCCGCCGCGGGGCCGTCCACGTGTACGCCACGCTGCGCTTCACTATGTTGGAGTGCCTCTCCCTGCCGAGGGCCGGCCGCTCCTGCAAGGAAACCTTCACCGTCTTCTACTTCGAGAGCGATGCGGACACGGCCACGGCCCACACGCCAGCCTGGATGGAGAATCCCTACATCAAGGTACCCAGGCGCCCCGGGGCTGGGGGGGGCTCTGGCCTGGGGGATGGAAGCAGGAGGCCCCCGGTTTGAGGAGGGAAGCGGGTGGTCTGCTAGGTGGAATGGCCAGTCTACTCCACTGGGCAAGTACACTCGCCCCCCCCCCAACTTTTATTTTGTCTGGGCCAGCATATCTTGCAGGATCTTAGTTCCCCCGCCAGGGATTGAACACATGCCTTTGTTAGGGAAAGTGTGAAGTGCTAACCAGTGGGTCACCAGGGCATTCCCACCTCGCCCCTTCACAGCCTTTGCACCAACTGATGCCTCACTCTGGAGTGCCTTCTCTCTGCCTCTCCCACCCGACTCCTACTTGTCTTGTGATTCCTGCTCTGGGGTCCCGCCTGCTGTCGCACTCAAGATACTTTTAACTCATCCTTAACTTTTCCACATTTCCCTCCTTTCTGTTTCCTCGGCACAGAGTCCGGGGCCTGGCCTAGAACAGGTGATGGTAAGTGTCTGTAGGGTGAGTAAGTGCACAGCTGGGGGCGGCTGGACTCTGCATAGGAGCTCAGCGAATGTGAATGGACAGTGTTGCGGCCTGCAAGAAAGCTCACGATGGGAAAGGTGGGGAGAAGGTTCTGGAACAGGGACTGAGCAAGGTCACAGGGCGAGCCTGGGCAAAAGACAGTCCCACGGGGTCCTCGGGGAGTGGACGACTGTGGCAGTGAGTCTCTTCCCGCCCTGGCAGGTGGACACAGTGGCTGCTGAACACCTCACCCGGAAGCGCCCCGGGGCCGAGGCCACCGGGAAGGTGAACGTCAAGACGCTGCGCCTAGGCCCTCTCACCAAGGCCGGCTTCTACCTGGCCTTCCAGGACCAGGGCGCCTGCATGGCCCTGCTGTCCCTCCACCTCTTCTACAAGAAGTGCGCCCAGCAGACTGTGAACCTCACCTACTTCCCGGAGACCGTGCCGCGGGAGCTGGTGGTGCCCGTGGCTGGCAGCTGCGTGGCCGGCGCCATGCCCGCCCCTGGCCCCAACCCCAGCCTCTACTGCCGGGAAGATGGCCAGTGGGCCGAGCAGCCGGTCACGGGCTGCAGCTGCAGTGCGGGGTTTGAGGCCGCCGAGGGCAACACCAAGTGCCGAGGTGAGGGGAGTGGTCTGGTACCCTGCTTGCGGACCTGCTTCTCAGGATTTCCAGTTTGAACGTTCTTTGCTCTCCTGAGCACTCAGTTACTGGAGGGTGTGTTTTCAGGGCCCCCAGCACCGTTCTGAGCGCGCTATCACTTCCACGCTCTTGCTCCTGACTCCACACCGTTGCTTTCAGGACCTTCTCCTGGGCTAGGGCACCTTGTTAGACTCAGAGGCTTCATGAACTCTAGTCCTATTCATTATGGTTTCCTCTGATTTACTGATACTGAATTCTCACTCAGCTTGTTCTCGAGAGCAGAGGTTCTTTTTTTTTCTTTTTTTTTTTTTTTTAGTTCTACCAGTTTATTGCTACCAACCCATCTCCCTCCACCCTCGTGCACACATGCTCAGTCATGTAATCCCATGGACTTCAGCCCACCAGACTCCTCTGTCCATGGATTTTTCCAGGCAAGAATACTGGAGTGGGTTGCCATTTCCTTCTCCAGAGAGCAGAGGTTCTTAACCTGGATTTTGTAGGTAGGATGAGGGAATCTGTGAACTTTCAGCTCAGTTCAGTTCAGTTGCTCAGTTGTGTCCGACTCTTTGCAACCCCATGAACTGCAGCACACCAGGCCCCATCACCAACTCCCGGAATTTACCTAAACCCATGTCCATTGAGTTGGTGATGCCATCCAACCATCTCATCCTCTGTTATCCCCTTCTCCTCCTTCCTTCAATCTTTCCCAGCATCAGAGTCTTTTCCAATGAGTCAGCCCTTCACATGATGTGGCCAAAGTATTGGAGTTTCAGCTTCAACATCAGTCCTACCAATGAACACCCAGGACTGATCTCCTTTAGGATGGACTGGTTGGATCTCCTTGCAGTCCAAGGGACTCTCAAGAGTCTTCTCCAACACCACAGCTCAGAAGCATCAATTCTTCTGCAGTCAGCTTTCTTCACAGTCCAATTCTCACATCCATACAAGACCACTGGAAAAACCATAGCCTTGACTAGACGGACCTTTGTTGACAGAGTAATGTTTCTGCTTTTTAATGTGCTGTGAACTCTGGTGGAATTTAAAAAAAAAAAAAAAAAAAAGATGGCTTTTCCTTTTCACCCATCTCTACCTGAAACTGGTCACTTCTTTTCAGAATGTCAGTCACAGCCCAGCGGTCAAAGCAAGACCTGAGCTTTGGGCCCCATTCAAATGCTGGGGGTTTTCACAGCTCAATAGAGATGATTTGCAAGAAGGGCAAAATGTTTTCACTCTCTGTGACTTCAGGATTTCTTTGGCTGTCAGTCCTGCTGCTGTATCTCATTAATAGAGAAACATACCCTTTGCCATGTTGTGAACTTTTCTTCCTGTATTTTTTTCAAGTATCTATTCTTAAATCTATGGAATTCTCCAGGCCAGAATACTGGAGTCGGTTGCCATTCCCTTCTCCACCTGTTTTGGTCTTTGTATTTTCACTTACTTGGTTTTATTGGTAATCTGTGTATTTTATGGTGCACATTTAAAATCATTATTCTGAGCAAGGGTCTTGAGTTTCACCAGGCTGCCATGGGATGGTGAGGCGTGCACGCCAAGGTTCAGATCCTTGCTCTGGAGGAAAGTCTTCTCCTCTTATGGGCCAAGTTTCTGAGCTCCTCACTCCCTGCTTCCCTCTTTGCACCTCATGCAACTTTGTTTTTTGGCCACACTGTGTGGCATGTGGGACCCTAGTTCCCTCACCAGGGATCGAACCTGCACTCTCTGCAGTGGAAGCTCAGAGTCTTAATCAAAGGACCACCAAGGAAGTCCCTCATGCACCTTTAATAACCGCTGAATGTCATTTTTTCCAGCCCCAACCCCACCGCTGAATGTCTTTGATGCAAGTTCTAATGGATGCTTTCTCTCTCTCAGCCTGTGCTCAGGGCACCTTCAAGCCCCTGTCCGGGGAGGGGTCCTGCCAGCCGTGCCCAGCCAACAGCCACTCTAATGCCCTTGGCTCATCCATCTGCCAGTGTCGCATCGGGTACTTCCGGGCCAGCACAGACCCCCGGAGTGCACCCTGCACCAGTAAGTGACCAGTGACCCCTGGGGTGGACCCCTCACCCCAGCCCCCGTCCGCCCATGCCTTCCTCCTCTTGACTGTGGCCTGGTGCCCTGCCGACACAAGATGTCAGTGTGGCTGCCGGTCTGTCCCCACTGCCCATGCCCGGCCATTGTCTCAGCCTCCGCCTGACGCCCTGGTCTCCCACAGCCCCGCCATCCGCCCCGAGAAGCGTGGTTCCCCGCCTGAACGGCTCCGCCCTCCGCTTGGAGTGGAGCGCGCCCCTCGAGTCGGGCGGCCGGGAGGACCTCACCTATGCGCTCCGCTGCCGGGAGTGCCGCCCCGGTGGGTCCTGCACGCCCTGCGGGGGAGACCTGACCTTCGACCCCGGCCCCCGGGATCTGGTGGAGCCCTGGGTGGCGATTCGCGGGCTGCGTCCTGATGTCACCTATACCTTCGAGGTCACTGCCTTGAATGGGGTGTCCTCCTTGGCCAGTGGGCCCGTCCCGTTTGAGGCTGTGAACGTCACCACTGACCGCGAGGGTGAGACTGGGGACCCGGGGCAGCCTGTGGTTGGATGGGAGAAGCCAGCAAGGGGGGTGGACAGTCTAAAGGACTGAGGCAGGGAAAAGGCAGCAGCTGGGGAGTGGAGTTCCCAGGAAGTAACACTGGGTCAAGGCCTTTGAGGCAGGAGGCAGAAAGAGAGGGTTAAATAGATGCAGAGGCGGGCTCCAGAGTTCAGAGAGAGCCAGGAGGAAATCCCAAAACAGCTGGAGGACCCAGACAAGTGTGGCCAGCAGAGGGAGAGCTGGGGAAGATAAGGGCCAGACCCGCCACGCTCCAGGGCCCCAGCACGTCTGTCTCTCGCAGTGCCACCCCCAGTGTCTGACATCCGGGTGACTCGGTCATCACCCAGCAGCTTGAGCCTGGCGTGGGCCATTCCCCGGGCGCCTAGCGGAGCAGTGCTGGACTACGAGGTCAAGTACCATGAGAAGGTGAGGACCAGGCCCCGCCCTGGGGGGTGGAGGTGGGCAGTGGGACCTGCTCCAGGGGCCGGGACACCTGAATTGCAGGCATCTGCCATATACCAGCTAAATGATCTTGTGTCAACCTCTTGGCCTCTCTGAGCTTCATGTTTTCCTTGTAAAATGCTTAAGAAAGGAATTTCCTGGCAGTCCAGTGGTTAGGACTCCACACTTCCCTGGTCAAGGAACTAAGATCCTGCATGCCAAGCGGGATGCCCCCCTCCCAAAAAATGCTAGATAATGGAGCCTACCCCACAGAATGGTTACCAAGACTAAACGATGTAATTCATGCAATACACACAGCTCAGTGCATATATAGTGAAAGTCGCTTAGCCGTGTCCGACTCTCTGTGACCCCCATGGACTATACAGTCCATGGAATTCTCCAGGCCAGAATCCTGGAGTGGGTGGTCTTTCCCTTCTCCAGGGGCTCTTCCCAACCCAGGGGTCTCCCGCATTGCAGGCAGATTCTTTACCAGCTGAGCCACCAGGGAAGCCCCAATGCATATATAGCTGAGTACAAAGGCCTCACCTGTCTCACAGCAGGGTGGAGATGCTAGTGATGGAGGCAGGGGAGGGGAGGTGGGAAGAGCCGTGGAATCTGGGGGCCCTGGCTTACGGCCAGCCCCCCTCTCCTCCCGAACAGGGCGCTGAGGGCCCCAGCAGCGTGCGGTTCCTGAAGACGTCGGAGAACCGGGCAGAGCTGCGGGGACTGAAGCGGGGAGCCAGCTACCTGGTCCAGGTGCGGGCACGCTCCGAGGCCGGCTACGGGCCCTTTGGCCAGGAGCACCACAGCCAGACCCAGCTGGACGGTGAGTCTGGGGGGCAGGGCGTGCCTGGGGTTGGCTGTCCCCCACCAGGCAAGGAGGCCTTGGCTCTCAGGACCCCTGAAGTCACGTCCCTCCCGCTTTTCTTTCCACCGAGAAGCATTCTGGCCTGCGATGGGACACAGAAACCAAATCCAACAGCTGGGTGTGAAGGCCCGCTCAGAGGCTTTCCAGCTATGTGACCTTTAGCAAAAACTTGACCCCTGAGCCCCAGCCTTCTCATCCAACACATGGAAATAGGAGGCCTCTCTCCCAGGGCTCCCAAGGATTAAATGAGGTGACACTTTGATAGTTTTTATATGCTGGCCCAAGGGTTTTTGTCCTAAACCTTTTAATTTTTTTTTACAGTTTTATTGGGATATGATTCATCTACCTTATGATTCACCCATTTAAAATGTATAATTCATTGGCTTGTAATATATTCACAGAGTTGTGCAACCATCCCCATAATTAATTTTAGAACATTTCAGCACCTCAGAAAGACACATATACCCCTTCCATTACCTCTCAGCCCCTGGCAAACACTCATCTACTTTTTTGTGTCTAGATTTGCCCATTCTGAATCTTTCATACACATGCTGTCATACGATACGGTCTTATGACTGGCTGCTGCTGCTTTCACGTGGCATAATGCTTTATAGGTTCACCCGTATTGTAGAATATATCAGGACTTCATTCCTTCTTGTAGCCGAAAAATACTCCGTTGAGTGGCTATCACATTTTTCTTTATCCATTCATCTGTTGATGGACGTTTAGGTTATTTCCACCTTTTCATTTTTAGCCTTAGGTACGTCCTATTCAAGTGGGACTTTCTTGCGGTCACCAGTATTTATGACAGAACAGAATCAAACCCACTCGGGCCGGGAGACTTCTTCCCTTGCCCTGAGGGACCTGAGGAGCCCGTGAGCCCTCGGAGTCTCCCTGATCTCACTTCTTCTCCTCCAGAGAATGAGAGCTGGAGGGAGCAGCTGGCCCTGATTGCGGGCACGGCAGTCGTGGGCGTGCTGCTGGTGTTCGTGGTTATTGTCATCGCAGTTCTCTGCCTCAGGTAAGCATCCTGGGCACCAGGAGGCCCTAGTGGGACCCCTGAGGCTGACCGCCCGCCCTCTTGCTCCAGGTTGAGGCTCCCGGGCTGTCCAGGGAACCTACCTGCTTTCACTTGGAATCCTCTCTGACTCTTGCTTCTCTCTTCCCATGCATTCCCTCTGGAACTCAGTTTCCTCTGGGACATGTGACTCAGTTTACCTCTTCTGTCCCATCCACTCCAGGAAGCAGAGCAGTGGGAGAGAAGCTGAGTACTCGGACAAACACGGCCAGTATCTCATCGGGCACGGTGGGTAGGCCCTTCCTGAGGGATGCAGGGCTGGGGCGAGAGCTGTGAGCCCAGGGCATCTGAGTGCAGTGGGAGTCGCCTCTTGGCTAACGGGCCCCATGCGATTCCCCAGGTACTAAGGTCTATATTGACCCCTTCACTTACGAAGACCCTAATGAGGCTGTCAGGGAGTTTGCAAAAGAGATCGATGTCTCCTATGTCAAGATTGAAGAGGTGATTGGCGCAGGTGAGCGGAAAACGCCTGGGTGCCAGGGAGGAGGGTGGAGTTGGTGGTGGGGTGGACGGCAGGGCCAGCCAGACCCCCCGGGAGAGGAGAGCTGACCCTCAGCGTCCTTCCTGAAGGAGAGTTTGGGGAGGTGTGCCGGGGGCGCCTCAAGGCCCCTGGGAAGAAGGAGAGCTGCGTGGCCATCAAGACCCTGAAAGGCGGTTACACAGAGCGGCAGCGGCGGGAGTTCCTGAGCGAGGCCTCCATCATGGGCCAGTTCGAGCACCCCAACATCATCCGCCTGGAGGGCGTGGTCACCAACAGCGTGCCCGTCATGATCCTCACCGAGTTCATGGAGAACGGCGCCCTGGACTCCTTCCTGCGGGTGAGCCCCCCAACACACCAGTCCACCCTGCCCTCCCCCAGCACAGCCAGGCAGCTCAGAGCCCAGGACAGACGGTGGGTCCCGTGTCGCTGCCCCTCAGCCCTTCATCCTCCACCAGGGAAGGTTGAGTCCTGTGACTGGTCTCCCCGTGGGGCCAGCCGACCCCGGGATCCGGAGGAGCTGTCATCTGTCCTTGTGACAAATATTTACTGAGCTTCTCTTTCTGCACCCGCCACCATCCGGGGCCTCAGGAATTCGAGCCCTGAACGTCTCTGCTCTTGGCGAGCTGCTGGTATAATGCGGGAGGCTGAAAGTTAACAAGTACAAACAAGTTTTATAGAAAGTAAACAAAATTTCAGATGTGAAAAAAATTAAACAGGCTCATAGAAATGAGAGGAAAGAGGTCAATTTTGCTAGTTTAACAAAATTGTATGAAGTTTTCTTATTTTTTTTAAACTTTACTAGGTATCTTTTTTTAAAAAAACAAAACTTTTTTTTTTTTTCAGCTATGCCACGTGGCCTATGGCACTTCCCTGACCAGGGATCAAACCTGTGCCCCCTGCAGGGGAAGTACAGAGTCTTTTTTGTTTGTTTGTTTGGTTTTTTTTGAAGTGCAGAGTCTTAACCACCGGACCACCAGGGAAGTCCCCAAAAGTTTTTTCTACATAAGAAAACAATGTTGCATTTAACAGAATGACAAAAACCCCCTGGTATCACCTACTACCTAGGTGATACTCATATTTTTCCAGTTGTCCCCAACATGTCCCAGCATCCAGTTCAGGATCAACCATCATACTGGTAGTTATTGTTTTGAGTCTTTTTACATCCCAGGACAGTCCTTTGTCCTTCTGATAGGCTGAAGGGCTGGGCCAGTTGTCCACTTGAATGTGTTACCTTCTAGGTTGACTGGATTCTTCCTCGTGGGGTCATTTAGCTTGTTTCTCTGTGTTTCCCATAAGGGAAGCTGTATCTAACATTGTGATAAGTTCAGGATTCTACATCTGTGGCCAGCCTCCATCAGGCGGTGCGGTGTACTTCCCACGGTACTGTACTAGGAAACACAGGCTGCCCAGCTCCCGTCATGAGGGATGCTGTGGCAGATGCTGGGGCAGTGCCTTGTGGATACGGGAGTTTGTTCCATTGTCTGGGTGCAGGAGAGGGAAGGGGGTCTGTCTTAGAAGAGATGGCATCTGGGTAGATGAGAAAGCCAGCCGTGAGAAGATGGGGGTGGGGGGAAGCATATTGGGGACTGAAGAGCTCCCCCAGAGTATACGGGATCTGGTGCATTCGAGAAGCAGAAAGGCTGGTGAAGCTGAACCAGGTCAGTAGAGGAGCAGTAGTGGATCACGTCATAGTTGGTGGCTGGGTCTCGTGGCCTTAGAACTGCGGGTGTGATTAGAAGACCAAAAGAGGAAGCTTTGGGGAGGATGTCAGCAGGACTGACAGTCGCTCAGTCATGTCCGACTCTTTGCAACCCCAAGGACTGTAGCCTGACATGGAATTTTCCTCTGGCATGAGGAGGCAGAGGAGGACAGCCTCCTCTGTCCATGGAATTTTCCAGGCATGAATACTGGAGTGGGTTGCCTATCCCTTCTCCAGGGGATCTTCCCAATCCAAGGATCTCCTGCATTGCAGGCGGATTCTTTACCGTCTGAGCCGCCAGGGAAGCCCATCAGCAGGAGAGGAAGATGATTTAAGAAGATCCCTTGCGCAGGTGCTGGGGAGCAGGGGCAGAAACCAGGAGCTGATGAGTTGTTGTTTGGTATCTTAGTCATGTCCGCTCTTGGCGATCCCATGGGCTGTAGCCCTCAAGGCTCCTCTGTCTATGACATTTCCCAGGCAAGAATACCGGAGTGGGTTGCCATTTCCTCCTCCAGGGGATCTTCCCAACCCAGGGATGGAACCCACGTCTCCTGCATGGGCAGGCGGATTTTTTACTGCTGAGCCACCAGGGAAGCCTGCCCGGATGAGGAGACTGGCAGTCACTCAGGCTGTGGGGGCTGTAGTGGGTGTGGAGAAGCAGCTGGGTTTGGCGTGTGTTTTGGAGGGATAGCTGGCAGAACTTGCTAATGGATCTTAGGCTGTGAAGAGGGGAGAGGGGAACCGTGGAGACTCCGAGCTCCCTACCCTGAGTGCCTGGAAGTGAGGCCACCAACTGAGATGCAAGGCGTGGAGCAGGTGCAGGCTTGGATGATGGGTTCAGTATTCAGTTTCTGGACTCAGCGTTGCTGGCCCTGCAGGGCTGCTAAGAATCCCCTGCAGGCTAGCTGAACCCAGAGGACGGGCTTAGTTAACCACCATGACTGACGGGCTTACCTGATGAGAGCAGACTCTATGAAGGTGAAGGTCGGGCTTTAGACCTTGGTTTTGGTGCTGCAGTTCGATCACACCTGACTCCTCACCATTCTCTTGCATCCTGTATACAGTTGGTCCAAGAGGGCTGAGCGAGAGTGTGGCTGGATCAATGCCAAGGCACGCCTCTCCACCTGGAGACAGGTGTCTTCAGAGCACACTCGTAACTTTCATTGCTCTGTTGCTGTCAAATAAAAAGAACATGTTAGATCCAAACCATTTGTCTAATATTTCCTGGATGGAATGCACTGACTGTACTAGGTTAAATGGGAGAAAGTATAATCTTTTTTAAATTTTCATTTTTATTATTTTTTTAACACTGAAACATTTTGTATTAGGGTATAGCCAATTAACAGTATTATGATAGTTTCAGGTAAACAGCGAAGGGACTCAGCCATACATATACACGTACCCATTCTCCCCTAAACCGCCCTCCCACCCAGGCTGGCAAATAACATTGAGCAGAGTTCCATGTGCTATTCAGTAGGTTCCCGGCTCCTTATAATCTAATTACGAGAGACTTGAGTGCATGTATTTGAAACAGGAACAGTTATAAGCATTGTGTCACGATACTGCAAAGAGAACTGAGAGAAACAAGAGTAAAATAAAGCAGAAGGGGTTTACCTGGGATGTCAGCACACCTGCTCTACAGGTTGGAGTGAGATGGGTCTGGAAGGGATAAATACGGTTTATTTTATTTTTTAATGTATTTGTTTTTATTGATTTATTTGGCTGTGCCGGGTCTTAGTAGTGGCATGCAGGATCTTTGATCTTGGTTGCAGTTTTCAGAATCTTCAGTTGCAGGACGCACACCCCTAGCTGCGGCTTGTGGGATCTTAGTTCCCCGACCAGGGACTGAAACCTCTGTATTGGGAGTGCAGAGTCTCAGCCACTGGAGCACCAGGGAAGTCCCATAAATGTGGTTTAGAATGTCAGGGAAAGAGGGGAGTCCTAAATGCCACCCCCACCATTTCCATCTCCAGCTGAACGACGGCCAGTTCACTGTGATCCAGCTCGTGGGGATGCTACGGGGCATAGCGTCAGGCATGCGCTATCTTGCCGAGATGAGCTACGTCCACCGAGACCTGGCCGCCCGCAACATCCTGGTCAACAGCAACCTCGTCTGCAAGGTCTCAGACTTCGGTCTCTCCCGATTCCTGGAGGAGAACTCCTCCGACCCCACCTACACGAGCTCTCTGGTGAGGCTGGGGGATGACCATGTGATCTAGGTTCTTAGGGCCGAATTGGAAAGGCGGGAGGCTGAGGGACTGACAGCTCTGGTCCAGGCCAGGATGTAGGAGCAGACCTACATTGTGGCAGACGTGGGGGCTGGGGGATCAGCTTAAGGAACCTGGCTGCCAAGAGTCCAGGAAGAGAACAGAGTTGGGGAGCTGGCTGTTTGGGGCACCGAAAGAAAGGAGGCCTGAGCTTGGGGAGACGCAGAATACCTGAGTCCTGGGAATCCCTCAACTTGCCTTGTCTTCCCCCGTCTTTAGGGAGGAAAGATTCCCATCCGCTGGACAGCCCCTGAGGCCATTGCCTTCCGGAAGTTCACATCTGCCAGTGATGCCTGGAGCTACGGGATTGTCATGTGGGAGGTCATGTCATTTGGGGAGCGGCCATACTGGGATATGAGCAATCAGGATGTAAGTATCCCGTGGTCCCACCAACCTGCCCTGGAATGTCTTGTTTCTTGGGATGTGGGGCAGCAGGGTGGCGGGGGATGCGTTCTTAGGGAGCTCATCACTGTTGGGTCCTTGAGGTGGTGAGGGCGGCATGGTGAGGAGGTGATCTGTGTCGAGAGTTTGATAATAGCTCATCTGGTCACAGACGGAGGCGGAGATGGAGGGCAGGCTAGGGAGGTTACATGTCTGGATCATAGCTCAAGAGCTTCTAGGACATTGAGCCACAGTCAGACTAGGCCCTGGCCGGGAGGACCACCCATAGGTTAGCCCTTCTGGTGGCCTGCAGCACCCATCCCAGCGTTTGTTAAGTCGCCATTTCCCTGGGGTCCTTCGGCAGCTTCGTTTTCCCCTTGACTCCCTCACCCAGTGCTGCTTCCACCCATCATTCCAGGTGATCAACGCCATTGAACAGGACTACCGGTTGCCCCCGCCCCCAGACTGCCCCACCTCCCTGCATCAGCTCATGCTGGACTGTTGGCAGAAAGACCGGAATGCGCGGCCCCGCTTCCCCCAGGTGGTTAGCGCCCTCGACAAGATGATCCGGAACCCTGCCAGCCTCAAAATCGTGGCCCGGGAGAACGGCGGGTGAGGACCCCAGAGGACGGACCCTCTTTCTCACATTCTGCCACCCCGAGAACCTTTCCCCCCCCCCCCCCCCCCAGAAATATCCGTCCTTTCGGTGGGATGTGGGATGGCCTCCTTCCGCCTCTCCAGGCCTGGGCTCTGCATCCCCACCCTGACACACGCTGGTGCTCAGGGTATCCTCCGCATCCTTGCCCACCAGGGCCTCGCACCCCCTCCTGGATCAGCGGCAGCCTCACTACTCAGCTTTTGGCTCCGTGGGGGAGTGGCTTCGAGCCATCAAGATGGGAAGATACGAAGAAAGCTTTGCAGCCGCTGGATTTGGCTCCTTCGAGCTGGTCAGCCAGATCTCCACTGAGTAAGTCGTGGTGGGAGCCGGGAGGCCAGGGGGTAGTGGTGAGGGCCAGGCAGCCAGGAGGGATGGAATCTGGGTGACCAGAGTCAGGCCCAGTTTAAGCAGGGGCCTTTGAGGTCAGCTTCTGGTGCCCATTCTAGAGCCCCTCCCCCCGAAAACAGTAACAGCTGCAGGGGCTGAGAGCTCGGGAATCTTCCAGGTCAGCTGTGCCCGCCTCACCCCCTTGCACCACCTCGGCCTTGGGCCATCTCGCTCCCGCCTTACAATCTGTGTCTATCTTTGTGCCTCTATCTACATTCCAGACCCTGCTCTCACATTAACAACGTGTCAACTCTGGATGTTTTCCCACCCATAAAAGGAGAAGGTTGGCCTGGGTTTTGGAAATCCTTTCCAGCTTTAATGTTAAATGGTTTTACAATTCCAGTGCCTTCCAAATACTGCTTTTCCCTCCTTGGCCTCTCCCTGGTCCTTCTTTCCACCTTTCCATTCCTCTTCCAAGGACTCCTCTCACCCCCGGGTTTGAATCACAGAAATAGAAGGACTAGAAATTCAGACACAGAGGGTCCAAGAGGCCCTTTCCTTGGGAAGCCAGTCTTGTCCCAGCAGGTCTGGGCCCCTCCTCCCTGACTGGCTGGAGCCTTCCCTTGACGGGTTCACTGACATGGGTTCTTGCCTTCCATTTCTCATCGCTTCTTTCTTATCTCAGCCTCCCCGCATCAGGACGGGGGCTGGGAGCAGTATGTTTCTGTCCTCTCTCTCGCCCATTCCTCTCTCCACCCACCCAGCTCCTCCTCTCTACTTTTGATTTCTCTGTCCGGGAGACTTTTCCTTCTGACTTCTTTGTCCTTTGAAGCAGTCTTTCGCCAACCTCATTTTATGGGCTTTTCTCTCCCTTTCGTTCCTCCTCTTTCCTGATTCTCCGCCTTTCCTTCTAGTTTCAGCATCGGGGGCGCAGCCCTCCACCCCTTCTTTCTCTATCCCTGCGGGTACCTAGCCTCGCCCCCTACTGCGACTGCGCAGAACTCTGGTGGGCGCCTAAATCGGCCCCCACCCCCGGAAACTGCCCGACAACTATTGACGGCTACCCGCTTCCCCGCTGGCCATTCTGATTGGCTGGCACGCCTGAGGCGGGGACGGGTTTTTGAAGGAGAGATGACCTGGGAGCTTAGTGGTCTCACCTAGCTGTTCATTCTTCCCCAGGGACCTGCTCCGAATCGGAGTCACTCTGGCGGGACACCAGAAGAAAATCCTGGCCAGTGTCCAGCACATGAAATCCCAGGCCAAGCCTGGAGCCCCAGGCGGGTCGGGAGCACCGGCCCCCCAGTACTGAACTTCATCTGCACGCCTGGCTCCGTAGCTCTGGAGCGGCAGGGACTCCAGCGCCCGGGGATCCCTTCCCTTTCTTCCTGGGGCAGAGTCGGGTGGGGGGGGTACCCAAGAAGCTCCCATCCCCACGCCCCACTGACTGGATTGCACTTTGAACCCATGGGGACGGGAAGCTGGCTGTTTGGAGAGAGAGGATTTGGGGATTCTGCAGTGTGGAATCATTACACTCCCCCCTCTCCCCCGCGGGGGGTGGGGGGACCCCAAACCGAGGGTGCAGGAGCCCTTCCCTCAGGATTGGGTGTGACGGGAGGAAAAGGAGCCCCCGGAGTCTGCCAACGTCCCAGGGCTAGTTGGGCAGGGTCTCCACAGCCCCCCTTCGATCCCCAGTTGGGGCCCCCAGGTGCCCCCCCCACCTTGAAGGGCAGCAGGCCCTGCAGACCAAAGAGAAGGCGGGACGAGCCTGCGAGCTCGGGAGGCAGGAAGGGGCGTCATGGCCCAGTGGCGCAGTCATTGGACTTGGACGTCCCAACCTTGCTGCTGTCTCCGCGGAACTCAGTTTTCCCTTGTAAATGCCCCTCCCCCATCTGCTGCCTTCATATTGAAGGTTTTTGAATTTTAATTTTTTGTTTTTGGTCTTATTTTTCCTTCCTTTTTTTCGGTTTTTGTTTTTTGTTTTCCACAGTCCTTGTCATAACTTTTTGTGTTAGAGGGGACCTGTTTCATTATTGCCTCTTTGGCCCAAGTGGAAACAGGGACCTGTCGTTGTGTCTTGTTTCCAGAACAGTGCCTTGGTCACGCCACAACCCCCTGACATTTCCCTGCCCCCCAAGTACCCCCAAGCTGTGTCCATGAGGGCGTGTCGGGGGTTGGGGGGGGGAAGTGGTGGAAAGCAGAGACAGACACCGGTGCTTGGAGGGGTTCTTAAATTATATTTAAAACGATTGTTTTGTATAAATAAAAGAAAATGGGAAGTGTCTTCACTCTGCGGGTGATGGAATAGACTTTTGTGGAGGGGGGCTCTGGTATGGAGGGGCTTTTGAGCCAGGCTGACAGAGGGGTCGGAGGTCTGGAGATAGGGCTGTGGTGGGGGCGGGGGCTGGGTGCTTGGATCCCAGCCCCAGGGTGTGTTTGAGGTGGTGGGGTGGGGGCACTGGAGATGAGTCATTGGCAGCTGCTTCTAACGGCTCCAGATGGCTCTGCCAAGAGCCTGGGGCACCTCCGGGGTGGGGCTGCCCTTCCCCCCACCCCACCCCACCCGCCTTGGTTTCCGAACCCTGGTTGAGGGGCTGTATGAGACAGGGGAGGCCTAGCCAGAGCTCGGGGCCCTGGTCCTACAGCCCCCTGACGTGGGGAGGGGGATCTGCTGGGGTGGAGGCCCCGTCAGATGAGGGAGACAGATGTGAGCCAGATGTTGACAGCTGGGGTTGGTTTAGAGGCGGTGGGGGGAGTGCCTGCATTAGGTTGTGGGGGAGGGGCAGAGGCTGGCGTGGAGGACACGGACCCCCCACGTGTATGTACACACACAGACACATACGCTGGGCTGGGTCTGCAGGACAATTCCCCCTTTCAAGATGCTGCCCAGGCAGGTTCTCCCAGCCTCTTGGGAAGGGAGGGGAAAGCACCTGAGTATCTTTCCCCCAGCTTCTCCCTCCTGAACAGGAAGATGAGGCTGGGGTCAGTTCCCTGATGTCTTTCTCACTACGTTCAGTTTCCCGGCCTGCCCGCCCCAGGGGACACCTGCAGGGGCAGGCCTGAACCCAGCCCGCTTTGTCAAGCTGGTGCAGCCTTGCCATTTTTGCATCTCAGTTGCCCCCTGTTGTCGTGCTGGGGTTGGTGTGTGTGAATTGTTCAGTTGTGTCCAACTCAGTAACCCCATGGACCGTAGCCCACTAGGCACCTCTGTCCATGGAATTTTCCAGGGAAGAATACTAGAGTGGTTGCCATGCCCTTCTCCAGGGCATCTTCCCAACTCAGGGATTGAACCTGGGTCTCCCACATTGCGGGCAGATTCTTTACCATCTGAGCCACGAGGGAAGCTTCGCCGGGGTTGGTATAGGATCCCAAACCCCAGCTTCTGCCCCTCCCAGCCCAGGAAGCCTCCAGGAGTGGTCCTGTCCTGTTTCCTGCCTCTACTACTTTCTTTGGGAATCTAATATTCTCTGGAATCCTCTGTCGCCTTCCTTGATGACATGGCTCATGTTTGTACCTCTAACAGGATGGGCGGGACTCTATCCTGCCGAGGACTTAGGATGCTGGTCCAGGCCACCTCCCCCTGCCAACCAGACATCCAGGCTAGATAAGGAGACCTTAGGTGGGTCAGAGGTCAGGGGAGCCGGACACAGATGAAAAACAGAGAGGCAAAGGGTCAAACAGCAGGAAAACGGAGGTCAGTGCGGGGGGACAAGGGGTGGTGCCAGGCATGCCGCTGGGAGTCCCGTGATGCTCAGGTATGTTTAAACATGACCAGCCCAGCTCCAGAGTGTGAGCTGCTCCCTCCAGCTAAGAGGCAGGGTGACCTGGCCAGGGGCACCCCTTCCTTCTTGGAGCCCTTTCCCCAACCAACTTGGGTCTCGCTTCCTTGGGTCAGCCACATGAAGGTGGCCACTGGGCTCATTTGGAGGACAGAGTAAGGATTCCTTTCTAGAACCCAGGGTCCTGCCTACTTTGGCGTCCCCTGTCTTTGGTATCTCACATCTGAGCCCAGTGGGCAGCCTTCCTTTTCTTCTTAGAGCCTGAGCAGGACCTCCCAGCCCCCTCCCCCAGGACCTGCCTGGTGGGAGGCACGAGGCGTGGGGCTCAGGGCGGGCGTGACTGCACTTTGGCCCTTGGCTGAGGTGAGCCGTCACTCCTAGTAGGATGGAGCTCCAAGCTCCTCCCAAGCCGGGCCTCAGCCCCCACCTTCAGTTACCATAGCAACCCCAAGGCCCTTTGGGTCACAGGCCAGTTCACCCTTTGGAAAAAGCCACATTTCCCATCCTGAGCCTCTGCCCAGAGCTTTAATCTCATCATTGGAAACATAAAACCTCAGGATCACCTTTCACTTACCCAGGTGGGAAGCTCAGAGGCCAAGTTCTACAAGAACCAGGATTCCTGGGGTGACCTCTTTTCTCCTGCATCCCCGAAGCCCCTCACGTGACTTTGTCTAAGGAACAGACAGCCGCTTACGTCCTCAGACCTCGGTTCCCCTCCTTGTGGACACTTTCTGGAGCATCCAGCCTTAGGTCCCCGGGCCCGGGTCTCCCTTCTGTTCTCCCCACCAAGGTCCACCTCACAGACCCTTCCTCCACCAGAATCACATGGGAAGTCACGTCTCAAAAATAAGTGATTTTATCTCTCCTTTTTCTGTGGACAACTCAGAACTGAGCGACTCTGAGGGCGTGCTCTGGACTAAAATCTGAGGGAAAAAAGAGAAGACGTGGATAAGAGGCAGCCTCAGGCCAGGCGCCAAAGTCGGCGGGCCGTGGGGCTGGGGCTCACCCGTACCTGGTGGCTTGTCTCTGGTCTGGCTCTGCATTTTCTCCCTAGAGGGCGTGGCGAACAGACACGAGTGATGAAGGTCAGCACCCACTCCCCATATTTGCTCCCCCACCAGCCGGCCCGCCTCTGCCCGCTTCCAGAAACTCACCTCCTCCTTTTCTTCCTGGAAATGCACTCTCTGGTCACTGCCGCGGGCACTATGACCACCATGGGCACCAGCCATGGCAACAGGATGGAGGCAAAGTTGGATGCTTCTGGGGTGCGGGAAACAGAAATAGGGGTGTGGGATAAGAAGAGGTGGGGGGGGGGACACTCCCTTCCGGCCCTCAGCTGCCACCCTGGAGGGACTGCATTCCCTGCACATCTCTGGGTCCTGGCTCCCCCTCCAGGAAGCCGCCACCCCCAGGGCTTTCAAGACCTTGATGCCGCCCTCCTGCTCTTGGGGGACACACAACTCCCACAGACCCTTCAGGAGGATGTTCACCCAGCTGGTCCCCCAGAGTCCAGGGTACCAGCTGGGTCAGTGCTTCTCCAAGAGTAGCCCTGGTATCACTTCCATCAGTCACCTGGGAGCTTGTGAAAAAATTCAGGCATCTTGGGGCCCCACCGAGACCTACCAAATCCATGTCTCTGGGGCTGAGTCCCAGAGACAACCTTGCCCCAGCCTGATCTTAGGAACAAGGATACAGTCAGAGAATTGCTGGTGCAGAGGCACATGGGAGTTATAGTTTAGGATGGAGAAAACCGAGAAAAGGTACCCGGAAGGCTCAGAGGGACACAAGAGATGGGAACAACAGCAGGGCGAGGCATACAGATCACAGAAGTGGAGAGCTTAGGGTCAGAGAGAAGATTCCAGGGTGCTGGGTAAGGCATAGGGACTCTGAGATTCTTTGAGGATACTGATCCTGCTAATCTTTAGGGATCATATCTAAATATTATATTATTACATCTTATATAGTAATATAAGACATTGACAATATACTATCTATTATACATCTATGGGCTTCCTTCGTGGTTCAGATGGTAAAGAATCTGCCTGCAGTGAGGGAGACCCCGGTTCGATTCCTGAGTTGGGAAGATCCCCCGGAGAAGGGAATGGCAACCCACTCCAGTATTCTTGCCTGGAGAATCCCATGGACAGAGGAGCCTGTTGAGCTCTAATCCATGGGGTCACAAAGAGTCGGACACGACTGAGCAACTAAGACACACACACACACGCATACATCTATAATAGATACTGTAGGTTAATCTTATATACACCGACTTATTCTGCGGCCATTGTTGGTGGGGAAGGTGAGGAGCTTGTGAGGATACAGGTCTGGGGTGAAGTTCTTGCCTGGCTCTTCGGGGGGAGGTACATCCCGAGGCTCCGTGCAGCGGTCTCCCCCGTAACCAGGTTCACACTCACAGGTGAAGTGGGTTCCCTGCTCCCGGCACCGCCCGTCATTTTGACAGGGGTTCTGTAGGCACGGGCTGTCTGCAAGGATGGAAGCGGGTGGGAGGGGGTTCTGGGAGGACACTCAGCCAGGGAGAGGGGCCTGGGGGCTGGGACACTAGGGAAGAATTTCTCCCTGAGAGATTCGCTGGGGTCCGCTGGCCGGGCTTCCAGTCCTGGCTCTATACCCGAGATCTGGGGAAACCGCTTACCCTCTTCTGAACTCCATTTTCTTTACCTTATAATGTGGGAATGCTATGCTCACCCCAAGTGCTGAGTAAGGACTAAAGGAGGTCTTGAGCACTAGTGCGGAGCAGAGAGCCGAGGCTCAGGGAAGGCAGAGTCTCTGCCGTGTCCCTCCCGAGAGAGAGAGAGAGAGAGAGAGAGAGAGAGAGAGAGAGAGAGAGAGAGAGGAAGATGAAATGGCAGGAGCGTCCTGACTGTGATGAGGTGGAGTCATCCCAGGGACAGGACTGGGAGAGTTGGTTTGCTCCGGGTCCAGGGGCTTCCCCCTTCCCCCACCCCCGCAGGGGATCAGGGCAGCTGAACGCTGAGGGCCCATCCGGCTCACCTCGGAAGCAGCCACGAGTGAGGTTCCCCAAGGCGCAGACCTCCCCGGGGCGGCAGCCGAGGGGCTCACATAGCAGGAGCCCCGGGCGGGCGCAGGTGCAGCGCTGAGAGCAGTCGTCGCTGACAACACGGTCACCCTGCTGGAGACAGAGAAGGCCAGGGGAAAGGGGGCGTCTGCCTGGCCTCCAGGGCCGGGCTGTCCTTTCCCGCCTGCACTCCCCCTCCCCGGGGCCTCCCGCTTCCAGCACGGACCTGGTAGTAGATGCCGTTGTCGGTGCAACCGCAGCGGGCCAGGGGGAGGCTCTGGGCTCCACTGTAGACGTAGCCCGGGAGGCTGGCACAGCCCTCCACACAGGGGCCCGTGCAGCCCCGGGGGGCTTCCAGCATGGCACAGGAGGCCGGGCAGGGGGTCATACAGCTCTGGTAGACCGTATTGGCTGGACATGACAAGGCTGCGGGGACACAGTCATAGTCAGAAGGTGGCTGAGCAGGGGCAGGCCCCCCAGGTATGGAGAAGGTCACCCAACAGAGCACAGAGCTTGCTAGAGGCACGGAGGACCAGCTTCCTGAGTCTTTTCGTCTGTGACACTAGCTCATGAGGAGGATCAAAGGTGGGCCTTGGCAGAAAGGAGGGGGAAGGGGTGACGGGAATGAGGGCAGAGAAGGGGTTCCGTCGGGAGGACGTTGACAAGGGGGAGAGTAGGCCCAGGGGAACCAAGACAGAAAGCCAAGGTGGGGGCAGCCGTGGAGGCCCAGAGAGGAATGGGGAGGGGGGAAGAGCCGAGAGGGTCAGGGGCCAGCTGCTGGGGCAGGTCAGGGCCTCACCGCAGTGGGTGTGGTCCCGCCAGCTGGCCGGGGTGGCGCCCGCCTCCTGGCAGATGATGGCGTACCCGCTGAGGACCTGGCAACGCAGCTCCTCCTGCTCCTTGGGGTCGCGGGCCGCACACAGGTCAGACACACAGTGCCTGGGGGATGGCAGGGACAGGTGGGGGGATGTGAGAGAGGGGGAGGGAGGCCAAGAGGCCCAGACCTGCAGAAGAGGCCCTGGAAGCCCCATCGGAAAGTGGGCCGGCGTGCTGTGGGGATGTGTGTGCGTGTGGGCTGTGTGTGACAAGGTACTATGGACAGAATTGTGCCCAACAGACAGCCAGTCAGAGAGCAGGCCGCAGGAGCTGGATACAGGGTCTCGGGTCCCCGACTCACTCCAGGAAGGGCTCGGGGGCCACAGTCTGGTGACAGGCAGCAAAGGGGCCCTCGGGGTCCACCAGCACCCCACACGCCTGGGTGCGGTTGATGAGCTGCAACTCCTCCGGGTGGCATCCCGACACACCACGAAAGCCTAGCGCCGCTTCTTCTTTCACCTCCTCCTCATGTACGGCCCTGGGCAGAGACAGTGAAGACTCAGGTGAAGCCCACCACCGGGGAGGGGACGGCCCGGGCACAGGCTGGGATCCACAGGGCCGGTGCCCCGCAGTCGGTGGGAGAGGAAAGATGTAACGGGATGAGAAGAATCAGGCCCGTCTGAGCCCTCGGCCTCGGGGCTCCTCCTCTGCTGAGCAAGTGCGGGTGAGCTTGTGTGGACAGATTTTAGGTTGGCGCTCATGCCCACTCTGGCCGGCCGCACCCCCTACCGCCCGGGTCAGGGCCTCCCTGCTTTGAGCCCCAGCCCTCTCACCTTGAGACGCGGGGGAAGCTTCCCTCGGTCATCTTTACCTCCCAACTGTTGCCAAAAGCAAGGAGGTTCTGGGTAACAGCCCCATTGGGCAGTATAAAGTCATTCCTCTTGTTCTGGTCGCAGTTGCCGCACAGGCCAAGCACGAGCTTCCGGTAAGTGACAGGCAGGGAGATCACTGCGGGAGCAGGGGGCCCAGGAATGAGACACCACCCCCCCACGCCACACCTCGTCCCTCCCCATCCCTCCTGGGTCATCTCCTGGAGCTTGAGGCCTTGCTCGCAGGCAGGGGTCCTTCTCATGGAGCCCAGCCTGTCTCAGAGGTGGCTTTGCCTCCCACTTCCCAGGAACATTCCCTTTGGCCCTCTGGTTCCTACGCTCAGGCACCTGCGTTGTTCTTTCCGTTGAAGCTGACCACCAGTTCAAAGTCTGTGATCACGAACAGGCGATCACTTCGTAGGGAGACCCGCAGCTGGTCGACGGGCTCATAGGGGGCGGTCACCTTCTGACCATTGACCTGGAGGAGGCAGATGGGAGCCGCAGGTGACTGAATCAAGGTGACTCTCAGGCTTCCCCGGTGGCCCAGTGGTAAAGAATCCACCTGCCAATGCAGGAGTGCGTGCGTGCTAAGTTGCTTCCGTCGTGTCGGACTCTGTGCAATCCTATGGACTGCAGCCCACCAGGCTCCTATGTCCATGGGATTCTCCAGGCCAAGAATACTGGAGTGGGTTGCCATGCCCTTCTCCAGGGGATCTTCCTGACCCAGGGATCGAACCCATGTCTCTTATGTCTACCTGCACTGGCAAGCAAGTTCTTTACCGCGAGCATCTCATGGGTTCAATTCCTGGTCTGGGAAGATCTCACATACCACGGAGCGACCGAGCCTGTGAGCCACAGCTAGTGAGCCTGGGCTCTAGAGCCCAGGAGCCGCAACTACCGCGTTCATGTGCGGCAGCTACTGAAGCCCAAGCTCCTGGAGCCTGTGCTCTGCAACAAGAGAAGCCACTACAACGAGACGCCTGAGCACCGCGACGAGCAGTAGCCCCGCTCACCGCAACTAGAGAAAGCCCACGTGCAGCAACGAGGACCCAGTGCAGCCAAAACTAAATGAATAAATAAAATTATATTTTAAAAGGTGACTCTTTGCTGTTTTGGGCTCCGCTTGTCCACACATCTCAGGACCTTGCAGTTCAATCATTCCCGAGAACGGGATACCCCAGGAAGCTTTACTATCCCGAACGCCAAAAGCCTCTCTGAGGTCTGCTCCTGTTGCAACCCCTTTCTTTGCAAAAAAAAAAAAAAAACAAGCAAAAAACAACTGTTAGGTGGGCACCCCTGGTGCTTCTTCAGACTGGCTGTTGGATCTTACCTTCTCCCCACTGCCCTGTCTCTCCCCCACCTTACCTGAAATCCTCCTGCCCACCTTGGGCTCCCAAGAAGGTGAGTGCAACACTGATTCTGATTTCTACAACTAGGCAGCCTCTGCCGGGAACCTCCCAGGGAATGGGCAGCCCTGGCTTCACCTGCTCCCGGTGGCCTCTCCTGGACCGACCTGCCTCCCCCCACCCTCCCTGCCTAGCCCGGGTCTTACGACAAGCTCCAGTTCGTGCTGGAGCTGGACCGTGTAGCCGTAGACCATCACGATGATTTCGTGCAGGAAAACAGGGTTGTGAGATGCATACATCTTGTTGCGTCCCTCCACGATGAAGGGCTCCACCCCATTGGGGAGCACGTCCACGGTCTTGACCAGATAGTAGGTCATGCGGCCCTGGAAACGGTAGCCGAGGCCATCAAATGTGCGGTAAGTGGGGTCCCCATAAACTGTGCATCGCTCCGACTCTGCCAAGAAGAGCCAGTGCTGATGAGGAATGGCCAGGCCCAATGGAACGACCCCAGGTCCCCTCACCCGCCTGCCCCAGTGCCTCCTGTTGCCTTCTGTCTTAGCCCCCAGCTCCCCATGAACTTGATTTTTCCAACTTCTCCCTCTCCCAGCCTGAGAGGATCTCCCTTGCCTGCTTCGCTCGGGGGCCCTGAAGGTAGATCCCAGAGAGAATCTGCAGGCGATCGGGGAGCTGGTGAGAGGTGAGAGCCCACCTCTGTCTATGTCAGCAGCCCCCTCTCCCCAGAGCCCCCAGCCTGGGTGCCCCCCGGCTGCACCTCCCGAGGGCCCCCTTACTGTAGGGTTTGCAGATTTCTTTGCCGTCCTCGTCGGTCTTGCACTGGGAGCCCGTGGGGCAGGCAGAGGGCCGGCACTGAATGGCCCCCGCCCTGCAGGCACACCTCTGGGAGCAGCTGCTGGAGAACCAGGCATTACCCTCCTGCAGACGCCGCGGGAAGAACGAGGAGTGAGAGGGAAGGGCCAGCTCTCTTTCCTCGACGACTTCAGTCTAAGCCCATGGTCTGATGGCTCACTTGGCACAGGCCAGAGGCAGTCCCAGTGCCATCCCACCCTTTGTCCCTAGAGGCACTGTGCTAGGGACTCAGGAGGTACTGTTGAACCCATCTTCCAGATGAGGAAACTGAGGTCACTCAGGAAACTGTGACTCATGAGGGGTACCACCAAGATCTTCAAACCAAGGCCACTCTACCTTGCCTCAGTCCTCACATCCAAACCACACACAGCTTCCACCCCAGTCCTGGCAGGAGGCCACCCAGCCCGACCACCAGCCTTCACACCCAGGGCCAGCCGCAGCAGCACAGGCCAGGGGAAGGCGGCATCCTGAAGGTGTGTGGGTGGCCCCCCCCTGCACCCCTACTTCCCATTCCCCACTCACGGGGAGGTCTCTGCCCCGGGCGTCCCGGCAGCCACACTGACTCCTGGGCACACACCGCCGCTGCTTTTGCACGTAGCCGGGCTCACAGACGCAGCCCTCCTGGCAGATGGAGGGACCGCTGGAGCCCTTGCACTGGCCTTCCGGGTTGTCACAGGTCGGGGGGCAGTGGGGAAAGCAGTTGGTGTAGACGTAGTGGGTGGGGCAGTCCAGAGCTGGAAGGGTGGGGGAGAAACGCTGACTGAGCGTGGGCTCCGTGGTGGCCCCGAGGACAGAATAGAGCAAGAATGGTCCTCCCATCTTGGCGTGAGAGCCTGTGGTCAGGCCGCAGGTGCAGCGCGACCCTGGTGCATCTGGGCAGTAAACATGTGACTGGCCTGTGTACCAGCAGTGATGGGAGCCCAGGGAAGGAAGGGGCTCACTCTGCTGGGGGGAGCTAAATAAAGCCTTTGGAGCAGAAGTAATTGCAAACAAATGGAAACGTTCACAGACAGCAAGAGTCCACAACACGAAGATGTCAGTTCTTCCTAAATTAATTTTATTACCGTTATTAGGCCACGTCAAGCCACATTCGGGGTCTTAGCTCCCCAACTGGGGATCGAACCTGGGCACCCTGTAGTCCTAACCACTGGACTGCCCAGGAATTCCCTCCCTAAGATAATCTGCACATTTAATATGATAGCAATAAAATATACCAACAGGATTTTTTTTAATAGGGAAAGATGATATTAAAGTGGAGATGAGGATATAAACAAACCAAAAAATCTGGGAAAACTCTAAACCAAAGCAAACAAAAAAAAAAACTAAATGTCCCTGCCAGAAATCCAAACACTACTTAAACTCTCAATGATCACAACATTGTGTTGCTAGTAAATGAAGCTAAATGGAGCAGTGGAAGAGGAGAAAAAGCCCAAAGAGGAACTCAAATACACATGGGAATTTAATATAAAGCGTGACATCTGAGTCAGTGGAAAAAGAGACTGGTCATTTAATAACACTGGGAAAAAATAAACATGAAGTTGATTGAGTTCTCACCCTACACACCAGGATACAGCCCCATGGATCAGAATACTTAAATATACAAAAAAAGAAACCATTCAAATGCTAGGGCAAAATGTAGGCAAATTTTTTTAACTTCAGAGTAGGGAAGGTGTTTGTAACTGGGGCTCAAAATGCAGAAGCCGTAAAACAAAGACTGTTATATTTGACCTCGTAAATACATATATATATATATATATATATTTCTGCATGGTAAAAAAGAAAAAAAAGTCAGAGATAAAAAAAAAAAGACATGGAAAAAACTGTGTGACTCATAGCACTAATGAAGGGCTGGCTGTTCTCTGTAGCAGACAAAGGGCATCTATAAAATATTTCAATAAAGGGCAACAGACCAGTTGAAAAATGATGAATAGGTAGGAAGAAATCACAGGAAGGGAAATCCAAACGGCTCCTGAATGTATGAAAGAATGCACAACCTCACTCATAATAGGAAAAATACAAATTAAGACTCTTTTTATCTTTCACTTATCAGATTGGCAAAAATCCAAAAGCATGATAATACTCTGTGTTGGCGAGGCTGTGGGGAAATGGGCAGTCTCACGTGTTGCTGGTGGGAATGTAAATGCCTCAACCTCTATGGAAGGCCATTTGGCAAGATCTCTCAAAAGCATAAATCCACACAATCCTCGATCCAACAATTTCACTGCTAGGAATTTATCCTACAGATAAGAGACACACACACAGAAAATTGCATCTGTATAAGGTTATGCATTGCAGCACTGTTTGTAATAGCCAAAGACTGGAAACAACTAGGGAAGTCCATCAATAGAAGACTAGTTAAACAAACTATGACAAAGGAATTATGACGTGTCTGCAAAAGAGAGTAAGGATGCTTTTTACATATCTGACCAGGAAGGGCAGCCAAGTGAAAAATAATGAAGTACAAACGACTGTGTCCTGTCTGATGTTTGTAAGAAAATATGGAAAATAAATTTGCATTTGTTTGTATGTGCAGAAAGAAAAGACTTTTGGAAAAATACTCAGATGTGGATAAGAGCAGGCTGGAGCCTGGGCCCCTGGAGTCAGGGTGAAAAGAGACTTTTCACTGGGAATCTTTTAATACTTTAAAATTTTTTGAACCATAGGAATGCAGCACATATGAAAAACACTTTACTGTTTTAAAATTTTAAAAGTTCTGAAATTAAATAGTGGTGCTGGTTGTATAACCTTGTGAAGATAATGAAAATCCGTGAATTATATACTTTTTTTTTCTTTTGCGCATCATGTGGCATGTGGGCTCTTAGTTCCCTGAGCAGTTATCAAACCCACACTCCCTCCAGTGGAATCTTAACCCCTGAACCACTAGGGAAATCCCTGAATTATATACTTTTAAAGGGTAGAAGAATATAGTACGTGAATAATAATTTTTAAAAATTTTTTAAAGGAAAGAGAGAGAATGCCTTGGAATCTGCCAAAAGTGAAGAAGAAAGAACTTTTGGGGTGCAGGGAAGGGTGTGTATAAAGGCAGGGAGGGGTGTGGGAAAGCAAGGCCCACGTAGGGAACAGGATGGTTTGTTGCAGGTGATGCCAGGGCACAAGTAACAGGGGGAATTGGGGGTGGACAGCTCACAGGATCTCAAACATCGCAGAGAGGAGTTCGGACTTGCAGGCACAAGGGCTCACGGGTGTAACATGATCACATTTCCTTTGGAACGACAGTGCTGAGAAGCAGCCTGTGCCATCCTGCGATAGGGGGCACCGGCTACGAGCTTACGGTAAATGGTCCACATCAGAGAAAATGAGGCCAGAAATAGGTCAAGAAACACCAAAAAGAAGAATGGAGGAGCTTTCAGAGCTCCACAGATGGGGGCCTTCTCGTGGTCCAGTGGCTAAGACGCCACTCCACCAAAGTAGGGGAGCCGGGGCTTGATCCCTGATTAGGGAACTAGATCCCACGTGTGTGTGCGCCTAGTCGCTCAGTCATGTCCGACTCTTTGCGACCCCATGGGCTGTAGCCCACCAGGCTCCTTTGTCCATGGGGATTCTCCAGGCAAGAATACGGAAGTGGGTTGCCATGCCCTCCTCCAGGGGATCTTCCCACCCCAGGAATCGAACCCAGGTCTCTTGCACTGCAGGCAGATTCTTTACTGTCTCAGTCACCAGGGAAGCCCAGACCCCCCAGGCTGCAGCTAAAGATCCAGCAGGCCGAAACTAAGACCTGGTACAATCAAATAAATAAAAATAAAAATATTTTTTTTTAAAAGAAGTACCAAACTCATATTTTTTAAAAAGAGAGAGACACACAGATGAAAAGAAGGTTTGGGAGCAGTCTGGGGGTGGCCGGAGGGGACACTCACGGCAGAAGCTGCTGTTTCTCCAGATGGGAGGCCTGATGCCCCGGGCTTGGCAGGCGGCCGCAAAGGCTTGCAGAGACTGGCAGAGGGCGCTGCTCAGGCCTCCAAACTCACAGAGGCTGTTGGTGCATTTGACCAAGAAGGGACTGAGGATCACGCGGCTTGCACACCTTGCCCAGCCCGGGGTCTGAAAGACTGCCCGGCATTGCTCCTGGGCTCTCTCCAGGTCAGCTGGCTGGCAGGCTGTTTCTGGCTCCTCCTCCGATTCTTCTTCGATCTTGTCATCATCTCGGCAACTGGGAAGGAAAAGGGGGTCATCACAGGGACAGCCACGGCCTCATCTATGAAGATGACTTGGCACTCCCAGACCACCCTCTAGACCCCTCCTGTCTTCACTGGGAAGCTGGCCTGGGCTCTGGCCAGCCTTCCACGTGGCCCCAGTCTCCTCCCACGTTTTGAAGCCAAGACAGGAAGACCCAGATGCCAGCCCCCGTCAAGCGATACGCATAGAGGACCACTCCAGTCTTTCCACCCCAGGTGGGCCATCCAGTCTAGAATCCCAACTCGCGTTCCTATGCAAACCAAGGCAGAGAGTCTTTGAGCATAATTACTTTGGGTCGATCTCCTTATCTTGCCAACTGTCCACATACGTGACGTCATCCGGGGCTAGCTCGTCATTAGGCATCAGTAGTTCATCCTCTTCCTCACCGTTGAAGTTCCCACACATGCCACAGGTCTGGGTAGGCAGAGGGGAAAGAAGGATCTTATGCACCAGGGATGGCAGGGGGCATTTGTGGTTGGCACCCCCTTTCCACTCCACAGAGAAAGGCACCCCCTCCCTGCAGCTTTTTCCCATGCTGGGGAGTGAGTCACCAGTCGGGCACCCTGTTCCCTGCAGGCTGACGCCCCTACGAAGTGCCCCAGGTGTTTTTCTCACCTTTCCATAATAGGCTTTGGGGATTTCGATCTCTAGGAAACCATTGCCATCAAACTTGACTTCCACCCCAATGCTGATGGTGAGCACCATGTAGCCATCCCTGGAAATGACTTTGACCCCCCGGATCTGGGAGGTCGCGGGCAGGGGGACCCATGTGCCATTGATCTAGAGAGGAAGGCAGGACCCGTGAGCAGCAGGAAGGACCAGAGCCCCGTCCCCAGAGCCCACGTCCTCCCCCCACCACCGCCCTGCTCACCAGTGCGTGGTCCTTCTTCAGGGTGACCAGGGAATTAAAGACGTGCACATAGACCGTGCGGAGGTAGAAAGTGTGGGGTTGGTCTTGCTGCTTCCCATTCTTGCCACTGATCTTGAAGAAAGGCAGGTCCATGGTGGAGTGGCATGTTTTCGCCAAGACGTAAGTGCAGGCGCCCCGGACAGCATGGTAACTGCCATCGAAGCTTATGTACTGGGACCTGTCCTGGATTCGGCACACTCCCATCCCTGGAGGACAGAAAGGTGGCTGAGGAGTGGTCCAGCCTCTAGCAGGAACAGGCCTTCTCCCCACCTTCAAGGAAAGGAAATGGAGGAGAGGGAGCCTCAGAAGGGAAGGGGACAAAGAAAAGAGTCAAGACCCAAGGACGTGGAGCAGGTGCCACTCGGCCCAGGAGAGACATAATATCTCAAGCTCACGACTGCCATGGGAGCCATGAGTGAACCCTGAGGAGCCCTCCTGGACGGAGGGGCAGTCTTGGTGGCTGAAGTTCCTCCTCCACGCTCGGTGGGCCTCCTACCTGCCCCCCGGCACCGCATCAGCCCATCGTGGGGCCAGCACATCTGGCCAGGCTTGCAGGCGGTTTGGAGGCAGGAGACGTTGTTGTGGATGGAGCAGGTGCAGAGCCGGGAACACGTGTTGTCCGTGTACCATCTCTCCCCGACCTGTGGGGCACAGGTATCAGTGGAGCCGATAGAAGCTTGGAAGCTGGAGAGGGACGGAGGCCTCCCCCCGACACACTGCACCCCAGGGCCCCCAAGAGGTCAGCTTTGTTCGGCCACCCGCCTCTGTCGCCAGCCTTTCTCAAGCTCCAGGCTTCTGAATATTGCTCCTCAGCCCCCAGCACTGCCCCTCCCCACTTCTTTGCACGGCCTGAGCCCTCTGGCCCCCAACTCATGGAGGCCCCCCTTGCAGTCTGGCTTCTCACCGGGTGGTAGGCGCCCCCGGGGCTGGTGCAGCCACACTCGCCGAGGGGCACACAGGTGGTCCCGCTCAGGATGTGGCCTCTCTGACACTCGCAGCCCTCGGCGCAGGGCAGCGAGGAAGGGCAGTACGATGGGGTGCTCAGGCTGAGACAGGTGGCTGGGCAGGGGTCAGCGCAGGGGCTGTATCTGCTGCCTGACGGGCACTTCAGAGCTAAGAAGAGATTAGCGTGTGGAAAGGAAGAGTCATTTCCAGCTCTCTTGACCGTGGGGACTGAAGAGCTCCTAAGGGCTTCCCTGGTGGTCCAGTGGTCAAGAATCCACCTGCCCATGCAGGAGACACGGGTTCGATCCCTGATCCGGGAAGACCCCACGTGCCGCGGAACAATTAAGCCCATGCGCCACAACTACCAAGCCTGTGTTCCAGATCCTGGGGGCCACGACTACTGAGCCCATCCACCACAACTGCTGAAGTCCACATGCCCTAGAGTCGGTACTTTGCAACGAGAGAAGCCACCACAAAGAGAAGCCTGAGCACTGAAACTAGAGAAGAACCTGCGCAGCCATGAAGACCCAGCGCAGCCAAATTAATTTAATTAATTTTAAAAATTTTTAATGGATTTAGAAAAAAGAATTCCTAAGAGAGAATTCCCTGGCGGTTCAGTGGCTGAGACTTCTCGCTTTCACTGCTGAGGGCACAGGTTCAACCCCTGGCTGGGGAACTAAGATCCTACAAATGACACAGGACAAAAAAATTTTTTAAAGAGTGCTCCTGGAAGTGTCAGATGAAAAGATTAACAAAAAAGGGGTCCATCCATACAATGGATTATGATTCAGCCTTACAAAGAAGGAAATTCTGGCACCTGCTGCAACATGGGTGAAACTTGGGGACATGATACTAGGAAAAGCTAGTCACAAAAAGATGAATACTGTGTGATTCCACTTAGATGAGGTCTCTAGAGTCCTCGAATTCATAGAGATAGAGAGTAGATGGTGCTTGCCAGGGGCTGGGGGGAGAGGAATGGGGACCTGTGTTTAATGGGGACAGAGTTTCAGTTTGGGAAGAAGAAAAAGTTCTGGAAACAATGGTGATAATGGTTGCATGACAAGTGAATGCACTTAATGTTGCTGAACTGGACACTTAAAAATTTGTTACAATGGTAATTTTTGTGTTCTGTATATTTTACTACAATTAAGAAAACAAAACGAGTTCCTGGGAATGAGGAAGAATGGTCATCACAGCAGTGACCTGGGGAAGATGGGAAGGAGACAGTAACCAAATGAGTTCAGAACTTTTTGGTGGTGCTAAGTCGCTTCAGGTCTGACTCTTTGTGACACTGTGGACTATAGCCCACCAGGCTGCTCTGTCCATGGGGATTCTCCAGGCAAGAATACTGAGGTGGGTTGCCATGCCCTCCTCCAGACGGTCTTCTGACCCAGGTCTCTTAGGTCCCTATCTACATCTCTTACATCTCCTGCATTGGCAGGCAGGTTCTTTACCACTAGTGCCATTGGTGAGATGGAAATCAGATGGGGGCTCCCAGCGGAGGGAGTCGAGGGGAGGATGGGCTACGAAGGGGAGAGTGGAGGAGCAGGATTGTGGGAGAGGAAGAGAAGGCGGGGCTCGGGGGACGCCTCTGGGTCACTCACGGCAGAAGGTGCTGTTCCGCCAGGTGAGGACCTGGCCGGCGCGGGCGCACAGGGACGCGTAGGCCTGCAGGGAGCGGCACAGGGTGAAGGCGTCACCCGTGGTCCCACACTGGCCGTACATACAACTGGCAAAGCTGGCCTGCGGGGCCACCACCCTGTGGCACTTGGAGAAGGGTCCTGGTGGATGAAACAAGGCAGGTGAGAGTGAGCCTCGCAGGAAGCGGAACCATGAGGCTGCTCTGGGGCAAAGTCTACATCCACTTCCATCCAAACCCGTGATTATTAAGAACCTACTGCCTGAGATGCAAAAAAAACCCACAGACCCATCAGCGCCCCCAGGTGACCACTGCCTCCGCATCCCCTTTGCTGTCTCTATTTCCTGTCTCACCTTTCCTCCCTCCCTCAATGATCAGCCCCCCTCCTCTGTCTCCTGTCCTGGGGGTAGTGGGGGAGCAAACAGGGGCCCTTGCGTGGCTTACCCTGAGGATTCACTAAGATATCACAGTTCTTACTCCAGGGGTCAGTTGCATTCTTTTCCAGGCACCTGGGGGGCCTGGCGTCTGCAGCAAAGCAGCTAAAAGAGGAGGAGGGGAAGGGACAGGGACTTAGGATCAGAGGACACTTCCCAAAAGCCATGTCTTCCCAGAAGACATGGAGAGGGAAGCAGGGAGGGGAACCAGCATGGGAGAGAGCAGAGTGAGGGCCTTGAGTGGTAAGGTGAGCAGATGCAGCAGGAAGGAGAAAGGTTAGATCTCAGGGTGGACTTCCCCGGAGACAGGTCAGGAAGCCCAGGAGAAATCAGCAGGCAGGAGTATGGGGGGTCAGAACAACCTTCCATCAATTCCAGGAGAGATTGGGGACACCACCAGGCTGCCTGCCAAGGCTTCCCCACCTGCCCTGACCCAGCTTCCTGCCCCGGTCCAGCTCCCCGCTCTCCCCATTCCCGGCTCACCCAGATTCAGATAACTCATTTAGCTTCCAGGAGGCCCCCAGGCGCACGGAGTTGACAGCAGGTCTCTTATCAGGCTGCAGATTATCGTCCAGGCTGTTGTTGTTGTAGTTCCCTGGGGGACCGAGCCGTCAGAGAGGCCGCAGGCTCGGTCCCAGGACGGAGAAGCCACCCTCTCTCCAAGAGAAGCCTTTTCTCTTCCTTCATCTTTGGCTTCCCTTCACGCCCACCCTCACTCACAACGCCCTCAACCGAGTAACAGATCGCCAAGCACCTGTTCCCGTGTGGATGAGCAAGACCCCTGAGAGGCTCGGGTTGCCCGTGGCCCCGGCTCCACCTGCATGTGCCCAGGGAACTCACCACACATCCCACAGAGCCGGCCAGCATAGGAGGAGGGAGCGGTCACTTCCACCAGGTGGTACCCGTCGTAGCGAACTTGAAGCCCGAAGTCCGTGTAGAGGAGGATAAAGGAGCCACTGGACCTCACGGTCATCCGGCCGCGTGCAAACCACAGGGGCAGAGCCACCTGGCGACCGTCCAGCTGCAGAGGTAGGGAGGACGAGGTTGGGAAAGGCTCCAGGGACAGGATAACAACGGGGCAGAGACCAGGGAGCAGGCGGGGGTCGGGAGCGGGGGGATGGTGGGTGTGTCTCAGAAACTGGGGTTTCGGTGTCTGCCGGACAGCTGTAACTACAGGCAATGGGGAAGGGAAGAGAGATGCCACGTGGGCTGGGGGTGGGGACAGGGAGGCAGGCGCAGGCACACACCATGACCTTGCGGCCTTTGAGCATCCAGACTCTGATGCCGAAGGCCTGCACTTGGACAGCTTTGACGTAGGAGGCCTCCAAGTTTCCACCGCGGAACTCGTTGGTGGCGCTCACAAAGAAGTAATTCTCCAGGGACTTCAACAAGCAAGGCCGGGTGAGGATGTAGGTGCAGGTGCCCATGAAGTGGTGCAGGGCTCCATCGAATGTCAGGTAGTGGGGGTCCCCCCAGACAGTGCAGGTGGCCGACCCTGGGCACGAGGAGATGGCTTTCAGAGATGCACTCACCTTGATCTGCCGTCTGGGCGAGTCCACGTGGTGATGGTACCCGCGGCTCATCGGGGTGGTCAGTGAGGCGCGGAGAGGTCAAGTTCAGGGACTGCTGCAGCCTCCCTATCTGGGTTCTTAAAGGCGCTGCTTTGGCTCCGGGCAATCACCTCCCAGCCCCTGGTTATACCCCAGCTCTCTGCTTTGGACAGGACCATGCCTCCGCTCAAGGTCGCTTGGGCAGCCCCCAGGCTCACCTTGAGGGTGGCAGCCATAGGTGCCATCCTGCCGACCACACATCTCCTGGGCCTGGCACTGCCAGGGCACACAGCGAGTTCTGTTGGTGCCCTCACAGATGCAGAGCCGTCTGCAGCCTGGCTTGAACCACCGCTCCCCTATCTGGAAGGAAAAGAAGTTGTCCCCTCGTCGGGACTTCCCTGATGGTCCAGTCTTTAAGAATCTGCCTTGCAATGCAGGAGAGAGACGCAGGTTCGATTCCAGTTCAGGGAACAGAGATCCCACATGTGGCAAAGCAACGGAGCCTGTGCGTAGCAACCACAAAGCCTGCAGACACTGGAGTACAGGCACCACTAGAGAGTCAGCGTGCCACCATGAATAGACATGATTTTTAAAAGAGGAAATCATCTTAGCACTGCTATTCAGATCACTGCCTGCTCATTGGGAAGCATTCATGTCATCCCAAAACTCCAGGCTTAGTTGCAAAACTCTGGCACTAGCTCATTCATTCAGTCACTCCATTATTTGTCTGTCTACTGTTTCAACATATAGTTATCATCTGCCTTGTGCCAGGCATCAGGAATTCAGTAATGAACCAGATGGATGATGCCCCTGACCCAACAGAACTCACAGTCCAGAGGGAACAGTCAACATGTAAACAAACAGATCCCATGCCCCAGCCCGTTATGTACCCAGAGGTGACCATCAGGGCACCCAGGGTGTTTCCTGCCACTGGCATGTGCTGCAAGAGTTTAGGGATGCTTATTAGGGTGCCATCAGGAGGGCTTCAAGGAGGAGGCAGCATTTCAACAGGACCTCAAAGGAGGAGAAGGTGGCTAACCCAGGTGGTGCCTGGGAGGCCAAGCAGGGGAAAAGGGGCTGCAAAGAAGGTGAAATTGAAAGCGTAAAATGTGGATAAGGAGTGTTCTGGGGGCCAGCCTGGAATGCAGCGCTGAGTAGGGGAGAGCCCCGTGGACATCAGGTGGTGGAAGGCTTGGATGGACCTCATCCTCAGGCCTTGCAAAGAAGGAAGAGAGAAGTTTCACGGACCAGGGCCAGCCTCAAGCACTGCCTCTGAGAAGATGGTTCAGATGGGGTCCAGGTAGCGGCTGAGAAAGAGACCCTCCGTAGGAGAGAGAGTGCGGGTGAGACACAGACATGCCTGGGCCTTCAGAGGATGAGAAACAAGGGAAGTGAGTCAGGGATGTGATGGGCAGGGGAGACGGGAGGGGAGAGAACTGAGGGTCCCAGGTTCTGCTGGGGACTGGGCTGACTCTGGTGAAAAGTACTGGAATTGAAGAAAGAAAAAGGGGAATTAGATCTAAGTCCTCCTCCTACCCCTTCCCCCACCCCCAGTCTCCTGTCTCCTGCCCACGAGCTGGGCAGAGACTTCAGAACCCGCACAAGTGCCTTCTGGCTGCAGCACTGAGAAAGGCCCAGCCCCGGCGGTTCACCTGGAAGTAGCCAGCCGTGGGGTCGAGGCAGCCACACTCGGACTGGGGGACGCACTGGAGCCCGCTGAGGACGAAGCCCTGGTTGCACTCGCAGCCCTCCACGCAGCGGTTCTGGCAGGCCATGCCCGAGAACGTGGAATGGCAGGTATCAGGGCACAGCTTGGCACACAGGGTGTATCTGCTGTTGGGTGGGCAGGCCAGCGCTGGTGGAGGGGAGCACAGGTGAGGCAGGGTGGGGAGAGGACGAAAGAGGTAGTTCCCAGCCTAGAGCTCAGAAGGCCCATGGCCAGAGGCTTCAGCCCGATCTCCAGAAGAGAGGAACTGGGAGAAACCACCAAGGAACTCAGCCTCCACCCCCTGGGCCAGGAGGGGGCCCTGCAGGGAGGTGTCAAGAGGCAGGACCCACCAGGAGCGTCAGCAGCTCTGCTGTGTAGGCAGGCCCCAGGGGAGCAGTCAGAACCCATGCGGCCCCACCAAGGCGTTCAAGCAGGCCCCTCAGGGACCTGGGCCAGACTGGGGACTGCGGGGCACCCTCCCACCCACCAGTCTGCGTTTCACATGTATACCGCTCCCCCTGGGGTGCATTCACACACACGTGCATTGCTCTCACACCCATATCCTCAGGTCGTTGGGAGGGCTTTTTTTTTCTCTCTTTCTTTTTAAAAAATCTTTTCCTGAAGAACTTTAATTAAGACGTTAACAGAAACAAAAAAGGTCAGAGTATACTCCGGACCCAGATCAGACGTAACAAAACCAAGCTGAACCCAGGGTGGAAATCTTGTTGTTGTTGAGTCATTAAGTCATGTCTGTCTGACTCTTTGTGACCCCACGGACTGTAGCCCACCAGACTCATCTGTCCATGGGAATCTCCAGGCAAGAACACTGGAGTGGGTTGCCATTCCCTTCTCCAGGGGATCTTCCAGACCCAGGGATCAAACCCCGGGTCTCCTGCACTGCAGGTGGACTCTTTACCATCTGAGTCACCAGGGGAGCCCTAGAGTGAAAATACTGCCTGGAAAATCCACAGCTGGGAGGAAAGCCCAGGAAGCCTTCCTGAGTGTGCAGGTGACCGTGTGATTTTCTCAGGGGAGGTTTCCGACTGTGCGGATTTCCTGGTCCTCGTGTAGGGGTGAAGGGGTTCCACCAGGTGCTGCCCCCCCAACCCCCCGGCCTGTGCCACCACTCTCAGAAGCCACCAGCCCTCTGACGTGTGCGTGAAGAAAGGGGCCCCGCATCTTCGCACGACTCACGGCAGAACTGGGGTCCCCTCCAGGGCTTCACCGCATAGCCGGCCTCCTGGCAGGTCTCCGTCAAGGCCGACATGTGGGCACACAGTATCTGCTGCAGCCCCTGGAAGTTGCACATGTCAAGCATGCAGTTGTCGTAGAAGGAAGAGACCTTGAGGTGAGGCCGGCAGGCCCTAGGGAGAGAGGCCAGGTCAGAAGGGACGGGAGGACGGAACCTCGTTCCTCCCATTTTGATGGGCCCGGGCACGGCCCCTCCTGCCCCCCCCCCCCCGCCCCCACTATGTACTGAAAGGCTCCGTAATCGACCGCGAGCCGTCCGCAGTACTCCGGCCCCGACAGGGTGTTCTTCAGGTCAGTGTTGCAAGATGGGAGAGACGCCTGGCTCTCCTGGCACCTGGAAGACACTCACCCCCACAAGCCTTAAGAACCGAGGCTCGCCTCCATCCCCGCCCTGCCCGGGCAGTCTCCCCGCTCTCGACGCCCCCTAGTGGACAACATCTGAACGCCAAGAGGTGGGAAAACCGGGCCCGCAAGCAGGAGGCGGGGCTGCTCAGAATCGCCTGGGGACCACTGATGGTGAGGGTGGGGTGAACGTGGTGGCAGTGAACTTTGCAGGGAACCAGATCCAGGAGAAAGACAGACGTGGGGGCATACAGAGAGGGCAGAACAGGAGTGATGCCGGTCAGGGTTCTTGGTTCCTCAAAGGGGCAAAGGAGCAGGAGAGCGGAGTGGGGGGCGGGGAGGTCCTCACGCCTGGTCCTCATCCTCCGAGGTCTGCCAGCTGTTACCCAGCTCCTTCTCATCTTGTGCTGGTCTGCCATCCGGCTTCTGGTTGTCGTTGCTACTGTCGCCATCATAGTTGCCACAGAAACCGCAGAGTTTGCTGGAGTAGGTGCTGCGGGCCGGGGAAGGAAGGGTGTTAGTGGAGAGTAACGGTCTCCATCATCTGAGGGACCACAGAGGCGCGGGGGTCGGGGGAGGCCATGGGCACGAGGCGGGCTGCGGACCAAGAGGTGCAGCCAGGGAACCAGAGCTCCACGCCAGGCACGAGGCGCACAAGACCCCAAGCTCTAGCCCTTAAGCCGTCTTCACGTCTCCACTCCTCCCAGTCTTCTGCTAACACCCCATCTTCCAGTCATGGCAAACTTCTTGCTGGCCCTAAGACATTCCACTTTTGGAATGTCTTGCAATTACTTGCAATCCCTTGCAATTACTGTTCCCTATTTCTTCTTTTTACTGAAAAAAAAAAAAAATCTTTTTTAATTTTTCGCCTGTACCAAGCAGCATGCAGGATCTCAGTCCCCCAACCAGGGATCGAACCTGTGCCCCATGCATTGGAAGTGCAAAGTCTTAACAACTGGACCACCAGGGAAGCCTCCACTATTTCTGTCAAGTCTTTCTTTCCCTTGTTTGGACATCTGGGGAATTTACTCATCCGTGAAGACTGCAGTCAAGAGACCACTGTTCTGAAGGCTCCCATGGCTCATTAGCAACTCCTTCTAGAACATTCCCGAAGCCTTGTGTATATATATCCTGCTATTATCCCACGGCCCTGAAAGTATTTCCTCCCCCTCTGCAACCAAAGGGAGGCCTGCCGGTGGAGCGAGGTGTTTCCTACCCACAACTGAGAATGAAGGCCCGGGGATGGCAGGGGAAGGGGGGTGGGAGAGTCCCCGAGAGGGAGGAAGGGGCAGAGTGGCAGCTACCTCCCTGGGTCGCCCCCTCACCTGGGCACACGCACATACAGCTGCTGGTCACCGTCCCATCTCACCCGCAGACCGAACGCCGTCTGCAGCTGCACAAACCGCCCGCTTGGAGTCAAGAAGACACCTTCAGAAGGTATGGCCGGGAGGGTGACTCGCTGACCCCCAACCTGGAAGGCGGGGAGGGAGGGGGCCGAGGGAGGGGACGAGAGACAGATCCAGGGATCAGGGAGGATCCCCCCAGCTGACTCCCACAACCCCACGCCACGCTCGTGACCTCTTCGGCTCCACACAGAACGCTCTGGAGGAGCTGGGCGGATGAGGCCACGGCGGCAGCCGCAGAGGGCTGAGTGGAGGACGGCCTTACCAGCGTGTGTCTGCCCTTGAGCAGGGTGATGGTGGTTTCCGACAGGGTCACGGAGACCCTGCTCAGGCAAGACGCGCCCTCCTGTCCTCGCTCCTCGTTCTTCACTGTCACCCTGAAGAAGGGCTCTGGGCCGGCAGAGGAGGGGTCAGGGGAGAACGCCAGGGGGCTCATTCCGGAAACATTTCTGAGCGCCAATGCGGGGGCGGGGGGGGGGCGCGCCCCCACCTGACTCTGCGGGGAGAAAGCCAGAGGGGAGGCAGGACCCCAGCGGGAGTGGGGGCGTCCTCCGGAACAGCCTGGGACTACGTGCCCCGGGAAGCCGGCCCACCCCGGCCAGCGGGGGTGTCTGCTGCCGCGCGCGCCCTCAGTCCAAGCAGAGAGGGGTCTTAACCTGCTTTCGCCCCGTGGTCTGGTCTTGCGTGCCAGTGGGTGTCTCACCCCCCACTCTACAGTCGGTCCGCTCCCATCTTGCCCTGCCATCAGCTCTGGCCCTGCCCCGCCGGCCCAAGCGCTCCCAGACCCAGCTCTCCCGACCTCGGACGGGGAGGGGAGGCACTTCCAGGGTCCTACCTGTCGAGTTGCCACAGGGTTGGGCCAAGACGTAGGTGCACTTGCCCATGAAGTTAAAGTACCTCCCGTCGAAGGTGAAGTAATGAGGGTCTCCATAGACGAAGCAGGTGGCAGTGCCTGCCGAGGGGACATGGGGGACGTGTGAAGTTGGGTTGCCAGGCCAGGCGCCATGGCCACCTCACCCACCTAGTGGTCCCAGCTCCCCTGGTCAAGGAAGGGATGGGGACCCCCGTGTCACACCCATGGGGACAGGTGGGGAGAGCATGAGGGGTCTCACCGTAGGGGTGGCATCCATACTGGCCATGCTTCAGTTGACACACGGTGTGTGTCCCGCACTTGTAGGGCTGGCACTCTATCTGACTGCCAGGCTGGCAGCGGCAGTGTTCTGTGCAGTTGGGGCTGAACCACTCCGTCCCTGACTGAGAGCAAGCGGGCTGGGGTTACAAGGGTACCACTCCCTCATGTCTCATCCCGTGGTCTCATCCCCTCCTCCTGCAGACCTTACCTTGTTCAGACTCCTGCTCGCCCCAGGCCCTTTGCACATGCTGTGTTGGAGCCTGTCCCCCTTCCCGCCATCTAAACCATTCCCATACAACCAGCAGAGTTCAGCTCAAGGGTTGCTATCTTCTCAGGAAGAACTTCCAGACCACCCCCAACTAGCTGTGGGTACTTCTCCTTCCCAGGACTTAACACAACCACACTTCTATATTAATTTTTGTGACTATTTGATAAGCTCCCCCACAAGGGACTGTGTCCATCTTTACTCGCTATCTTAGCTCCAACACATAGCACAGTGCCTGGCAAAGAGTTCTCATGTAATGAATACTTCCTTAAGTCTCCCCCAGAATGTGAGCCTGCCCTATTCATGGTGACCCCAATGCCAAGAGGGTTAAATGTACCCAATTATGTTTATTGCATTTATAAGTGAACATAAATCCATATGTGTTTCCTGGGGCAGAGAGAAGAGATGCCTGGTGCTGATGGTTCTGACATCACCAGATGGTTCTATCCCAGCTACAGCTGAAGCTTATCCCAACACTGACGCAGGGACACCCAGGAGACAGGTTAAGAGGGTTGGAGGAGGAAGTAAACCCTCAAGGAGACGAGCAGGAACTCTGACGCTCCATGGGAAGAACCCCAGAGCTGAGAAGATGTACTATTCAATCATGAATAGCTGACTGCACTTTCATTTAATAGGTTGACTATATTCATCATAAATTGCTAACAACAATAATTAACATTTAAGTAACTGGTCTGTGTTGGGACCTAATTTCATCTTCACAGCAACCATATGAGGTAAAAAATCTCATTGTGCACGTTTTATAGATATGGAAACAGATTTGAAGAGGTCAAGAGAGAACCTTGCCAGGGTCACTCAGTAAACAAGTGCCAGAGCCAGGCTGCAACTCAGATCAGCCTGACTCTCGGCGGCTCTGTTTAATATAATGGCGTATATATATATATAAAATGGGCAATAGCCCACATCTGGCCACTGAGCTCTTCGAATGTACCTGGTGCAGATTGACATTGGCTCTAAGTGTGAAATACACATTGAATTTTGAAGACTTCGTTGGATTAAAAAAAAAAGGTACATAAACAATCTCATTAATAAATATTAATTACCTGTTGAAATAGGTAGATGACTGGAGTTAATTTAACCTGTTTCCTTGTACCTTTGTTTTTTTTCAAGATTTTTTTTTTATGTGGACCATTTTTAAAGTCTTTACTGAATTTGTTACAATACTCCCTTTTTACGTTTTGCTTTGTTTTTTTCAGCCCCAAGGCTTGTGGGATCTTAGCTTCCTGACCAGGGATTGAACCCACATCCCCCTGCATTGGAAGGTGAAGTCTTAACCACTGGCTCACCAGGGAAGTCCCATCCTTTTTTTTAAGGTGGCTATTAGGACACATAAGTGCCTTATGAGGCTTGTATCTGTCCCTTCTGGCCAGCAGCCTCCAGAAACTCTGGGGGCGCCTGGGGGCAATCAATTAGGAGAGACAAGACTAGAATCACCTCTCCTTTGACCGATCCTATCAGAATCTGCAAATTCCTTGTTCGTTTGTTTTGTTTTGGCTATATCTCTAGTTCCCCAATGAGGGATTGAACCCAGGGCCCTGGCAGTGATAGTGCCACAGAGGTATACAAAGCATGGTATATACCAAAGCATGTCTAACCACTAGACAACCAGAGAATTCCTTGCAAGTTCTTTTGGAAGAAGGTTCTGGGATGCTTCATTCTGCCCTGAAAATGCCTGAATGTACTCAGTGTCCGGGGCTCTCTGTATACACAGGGACCCCTGACTTTCCTCAGGATGGAGATAAGGGCCCAGCAATAGCTGGCTGGTCTAGGGTCTAGTGCGTCATGGCTGCCTGTACAGGATGGAGAAATACAAAAATTACAAAGCTTCCAAGAGCACCGAGGACAGGGCCTCAGGACGACAGGATCTTCTGCACAGCCTAGAGTCAGGCTGGGCCAAAGTGACTGCTTAACAAATATTTATTGTGTGAACAGACTGACCATCAAAAACCACATGCTGCCAGACTTCCCTGGCGGTCCAGTGGTTAAGACTCTGCGCCTCCACTGCAAGGGTTGAGGGTTCAATCCCTGGCTGGGGAACTATGAATGAAAGACTCCAGCACCAGGTCATCACTGCCTGAGAGCTGACCCCTTGAGAATATCCTGTGGATCCAAATTTATGCCAAACTGGAGAGTAGGCGGCGCCAGACCCCAGGGGTTCGGCTCACAGTCTCCTTCTGGGGAAGTGGACAGCCCCAGGTCTCACCTTGTAGTAATTTTCATTGTAGAAGCAATTGCAGGAAGAGGCATTGATGCAGCGGGAGTCGTTGAACAGAAAGCCTGAATTGCAGACACAGCCAGGCTTGCAAAAGAGACCACAGGTGGGCTTGGGGCTCTGGCAGGACGCTGGGCAGGCACAGCGTTCGTAGTGGGCATTCGGGGGGCACATGGCTGAGGGGAAACCAGCCTCCATTAAACCCCCAGCTTTTCTCCTGTCTCCCCTCTACCCAGCAACCCCTCACCCCGCCACCATTCTTCTCAAGGAAGTAGGGCCATGTTACTCAGCCATTCAAAGCAACGAAGTCCTGACACAAACCACAGCCTGGATAAACCACAACCTTGACAAAAACACATGCTGAGAAAAAGAAGCCAGTCACAAAAGACCACCTATAACATCATTCCTGTTATGAATTGTCCAGAACAGGCAAATCCATAGAGATAGAAAGCAGGTTTGTGGTGGTCAAGGGCTGAGGGGTTGGGGGACAGGGAGCGCCCACTGATGAATATGGGCTTTCTTTTTGAGGTGATGCAAAATGTCTTGAAATGGAAAAGGGAGGGTGGTTGCACAATTTTGTGAACACACTAAAACCACCAAATCATACACTTTGAAAGGATGAATTTGACGGCAGTGAATTATATCTCAGTAAAAGAAGAAGCACTAGTAAGTCTAGTGGTTGGTTTGCAACAACCCCACCCCACCCATCCCCCACCCCACCCCTCCCCCACCGTCCTTCTCAATGTTGTCCTCAGCTTTCTTTCTAAAGTCACCATGATTGGTTCCTCTTCCCTCTGAGACTGCACTTTTCTACAGCATGCATTTCCCCAGCCCTCTCTCCTCACCACTGTCTCTGACTTTCAGCTCTTTGTCCGAGGCTCCACCACATACCAGGAGTAGGTCTCGGGGTTGTAGTGGTGGCCGGGGTCACAGGGGTCATGGAGGTACTTGGCATCGTGAAGGCTGTCGGCTGAGTGGGTACAAGAGCTGGGCTGGGCTGGGGTGTCATGGGAGTTGTGGGACTTTCAGTGGGGACAGTGGGCTTTCCTGTGGGAATGGTGGACTTTTTGGTGGGAATGGTGGTCTTTTTGGTGGGGACAGTGGTTTTTTCTGTGGGAATGGTGGTCTTTTTAGTGGGAATGGTGGCCTTTTGGGTGGGGACAGTGGGCTTTCCTGTGGGAATGATGGTCTTTTTGGTGGGAATGGTGGTCTTTTTGGTGGGGACAGTGGTTTTTTCTGAGGGAATGGTGGTCTTTTTGGTGGGAATGGTGGCCTTTTGGGTGGGGACAGTGGTTTTTTCTGTGGGAATGGTGGTCTTTTCAGTGGGGACAGTGGTTTTCTCTGTGGGAATGGTGGTCTTTTTGGTGGGAATGGTGGCCTTTTGGGTGGGGACAGTGGTTTTTTCTGTGGGAATGGTGGTCTTTTCATTGGGGACAGTGGTTTTTTCTGTGGAGATGGTTGTTTTTTCAGTGGGAGTGGTGGTCTTTTTAGTGGGAATGGTGGTCTTTTCAGTGGGGATAGTGGTTTTTTCTATAGAGATGGTTGTTTTTTCTGTGGGAATGGTGGTCTTTTTGGTGGGAATGGTGGTCTTTTTGGTGGGGACAGTGGTTTTCTCTGTGGGAATGGTGGTCTTTTCAGTGGAGACAGTGGTTTTTTCTGTGGAGATGGTTGTTTTTTCTGTGGGAATGGTGGTCTTTTCCATGGGGACAGTGACTTTTTCTGTGGAAATGGTTGTTTTTTCTGTGGGAATGGTGGTCTTTTCTGTGGGGACCATGGTTTTTTCTCTGGGGATGGTTATTTTTTCAGTGGAGATGGTGGTCTTTTCAGTGGGGATTGTGGGTTTTTCTGTAGGGACAGGGGGCCATTCACTAGGGGAAAAGGGCCATTCAGGTAGGAAGGTGGGTTCTTCAGTGAGGATGGTGGGTTTTTCTGTGGGAATGGTGGTCCTCTTAGTGGGAGTGGTGGTCTTTTCTGTGGGGACAGTGGGCTTTTCTGTGGGAATGGTGGGCCCTTCAGGAGGGACAAAGGGCCATTCGGGAAGGAAGGTGGGTTCTTCAGGGAGGATGGTGGGCTTTTCTGTGGGAACTGTAGGTCTTTCTGTAGGAACAGTGGGCTTTTCTGCGGGAACCATAGGCTTTTCTGTGGGGACAGTAGGTGCTTCACTGGGGACAGTTGGTTTTTCTGTGGCGGCCACAGGTTTTTCCGTGGGGACATGGGATATTTCACTGGAGGTGGTGGATGTTTCTTCAGGGGTCACAGGTTTTTCTGTGTGGGCAGGGGTTTCAGAAGGGCCAGTAGGGGGACCTAGAGGTTTGGGAGGGAGCGCTGTAGATGCAGGTCCTGCAAAGAAAAAAAATTCCTGGAGTTTAGTCAAAATCACACCACCCCCATCTTGACCCCCATCTAATTGGAGTGGGTAAATTTGTCACACCTCTTCTAATCCCAACCCAATCTCCACTCACTCAACACTCAACAAAAACTGCCCCTACTATATGTCTGCTCTTGCGCTGGGTTCGGGAAATGAAACAAACGGGATGTCAGCCTTCCCTTCAGGTTCACCGTTCACTAGGTAAGGGGTCCAACCACAGAAATCCATGGCGCCAAGGCCACATTTATCCAAGCAAGCATTCCAACGGGGCCCGGGAGGTACAGGTGGGCAGAACACAGAAGACAAAGCTTTGTGGGGCCTCGGGCACAAAAGTATTAGTCGCTCAGTTGTGTCCGACTCTTTGCGACCCCGTGGACTGTAGCTCACCCGGCTCTTCCGTCCAAGGAATTCTTCAGGAAAGAATACTGGAGTGGGTAGTCTATCCCTTCTCCAGGGGATCTTCCTAACTCAGGGATCAAACCTGGGTCTCCTGCATTGCAGGTGGATTCTTAACCAAATGAACCACCAGGACACAAAAGAGGACTTGCATTTTAACACATTATTGAAAGGGTAGTGGGGGGGGGGGGTGCGGTGTTGGTGTTTGCAGAAATGAACGCCTGTGGCCAGCAATTTGTTATGTACGTGAACATTGAAATGCCTCCAGTCAGTAATGTTCGGGTGACAAAGGACGCAATCATAAGTCTCTGATCAGTGAGTTGTGAACAGCGTGTGCAGAGAAGCTCAAGTGCCACTCATCCCAGAGCGTGGCCCCCTTTCCGGGGCCTGGGGTCCTGTCTTACCTCGACAGCTCCCCTGACTGATGAAGATGAAACCCAAAGCAACGACGAAGGCAGCACGGGAGCCCCTCTCGACCTCAAACATCAGCTGAAGGTCCGAGGGAGAAAAAACAAGAGAGAAATAGAAGTGAAGGCCTGGCAACGCGGTGACTCTGGGCAGAGAGTCTGTCTTCCACCAAGATGTCGCCTTATTCTGGCCTCAACAGTGCCATGTGGACCCTGGCCTTCCCAGGGGTCGGAGAGCCTGATGGGGAGCACAGAGTACCCTCTGATCCACCCTTCCTCCAGAGATCCATCCTTGAAGTCCTGATTGTGCTCCCGGACCACAGCCATTCATCCCCCTCACCAGCCCCACAGCGACGCTCACGCAGTGACTCTCGCCGTTCCTCACCTGCATAGGCTGTTGATGTCCCGAAGGGATGGTCGTGGACTCGTTCAGCCAGTCAGGGCCCTGAGACCCAACTCGTTCCCAGAGAGAACTTGGGGGGCTGCCTGCAGGGCTCCCCAGCTGAAGCCTGAGCTTCGTGCCCTTTCCGCGGCCATCCATGTGGTAGGTGAACGCCACACAGATGGCACCCGGGGCACAGAAGGGCCGGCTCACCAGTTTGTAAGACTGGCCTTCCTGGGAGAACTTGTCAGCCTCAAGGTAGACGAAGTGACTTTCTGGGCATAAGAAGGGAACGGGCAAGGTGAGAAACCCCCAGAGGACAAGGCCTGTGCTTTCCTGAGCACCGCCTTGCTTTCCAAGTGGGGATGAGATGCAAACACCCAAACTCCCCACATTGCAGTGGGCTTTTTTGTTTGTTGTTTGGTTTGGTTTCCTGCTCTTTGTAGACTTCTCACTGGAAGAAGGCAGGATCAGAAAGAAAGGGAAAACCAAACCAGCAACCCAGACTCCTGTACTGGATGCATCAGTAAATGTCTTGACTGAAAACGACAGTGGATTTTGAGGCCTTGGGCTCAATGAGAAATGCAATGCCTGGATTTTCTTAGGGGGTTTTCAAGTGGACCCAGAACATAATAATCCTCAACTCATTCTACCTCTGTCGCTTCCAGAGCTCTGGCCCCATTACCGCTTTCCAGTAAACACCCCCTGGTTGATCCTCACTACCTACATCATGTGTCCATCACACCAGCCCGCCCACTAGCTGTGAGCAGATTCAGGAACTTATTGCCTTGAGGGATCCTCCATCTCCTCACCTCCACTGAGGGAGATTCCGAAGGGACCTATACCGTGGATGAGCGTATTTGCGCTTCCCTGGGTCCAGTGTCCGCCATCCTGTAATACCTGGACCCAGTCACAGAAGGGGTGGTCCTTGTCTTCAAAGTCACACTGAGGAAAGCTCTCTGGGGAATCAGAATGGGAGGTGCGAGAAATCTGCGCCATGCTCTCTATTCCCCTCTCAACCCCCACCCTGTTCTCTGTGCCCCTCTCACCCCCACAGGGAGCAACGCTGATTGCATCCACGGCCACTGCTGGCTCTGGGATCTTTGCAAACACGCCCACCAAGGTGAACTGAAGAGAGAGGGAGAAGGGCCCAGGAGTGAGGAAACAGCATAAACACTCTGTATGCTCAGTCGCTCAGTCATGTCCGGCTCTTTGCGACCCCATAGGCTGTAGCCCACCAGGCTCCTCTGTCCTCAGGGATTCCTCAGGCAAGAATACTGGAGTGAGTTACCATGCTCTCCTCCAGGGGGTCTTCCCAACCCAGGGACTGAACCCAGGTCTCCTGCATTGCAGATGGATTCTTTACTGTCTGAACCACCAGGAAGCCCAAGAAAACTGGAGTGGGTAGACTCTCCCTTCTCCAGGGGATCTTCCCGACCCAGGAGTTGAACTGGGCTCTCCTACACTGCAGGTGGATTCTTTACCAGCTGAGCTTCCAGGAAAGCCCTGCCTAAAAGCTCAGCCCCCTCCATCTGATTTTACTCTATGCAGGGACCCAGGCACCCGGCTTCTAGGGCCCAAACTCTCAGTCCATGTCAATATCGAGCACGCCTCCCATAAAAGGAGACCTGACCCCTTGCTGCTCTATACCTGAATCTGTCCCTGGCCTGTGTAATTGACAGAGACAGGCTGCCAGTTGGGTCCAGGTTGTCCTGAGAAGATGGTGTGTTTCCGGATGCTGCCTATGATGGAAGGAACACAAGAGAGCCATGAGATGAAGGGGGCTGGGAAATGAAGTCATACCAGTACTCAGAAGGAGGAGTAGCCAAGGGAATATCTGGAGTAGGTTCTCAGCACATCCTTTTGTCTCACTCTCTTGGTTTTTTAAAATCTATTTTTCCAGAAGCCCATGCCCTCCCTGCTCCCAAATTCCACCCCACGGAATCATCTTGCCAGTATCCCAGATTTCCCCAGACCCTGGGGGATGCCCCCCATTTCCTCGTCAACCCAACCCTGGAAAAAGAGCCTCAGGACAGTGTGAATCCTGTGACACTGTCATTCTCACCTAAGACAGATGCGTAGGCCATGAAGCCTGCACCGGGAGACCGGCCACGGAGGACGTAGTGAAAGGACAGACTCAGGCAGCCGGAGGACTGGATCAGGGGGCTCAGGAGGACAGATTTCTGACTCGCTTTTGCATTCTTGGGGTCCAGAAGCATGTAATAGCCATCTGGGGAGGAAAAGATCAGTAAAGTGCGGAGTGACCCAGGGCTAGGGGCTGCAGGGGCAGGGAGCCTGGCCCCGGGGAGCTTTAATAGCTGCCAAGGATAAGCCAGCACCGAGGTGAGCCTACACCCATCACACGAATGGCTGAGGCCTTGGTTTCTTCCAGAAATGCTTGGCAGGTCGGGATGAGGACGCAGGAAACGCGGCATCTTGTCAGAAGCAGCAGTCAGAGACCTGTCCTTTGGATTCTGATGTTTGAGGTCCCCTCAGAGTCACTTCCTCTTCCTGTTCTTGAGCCGTTGGATGTGAGTGCCTCACAGAGTGGCGAGATGCGGGTATGATGCTGACTGCGGGGATGTCCGCTCCCAGCCGCCCACCCCCACCAGCCCACCAGCTCAGGCAACCGATCAGCCTGGACCTCACTCCGTGGTGCAACTGGTAGGTAGCCTGGAAGCTGGGCTGCAGGAGGGGGGTGCCACGGAGGGGTGTGGATTAAGGAGGCACGTGTCACGACACCCAAGGACTTCTACCTGGAGAGCACGCTTGGCCCAGGGAGCCCCCGAGAAAGGTGGGCTTTGTAGAGGAGAGAAGAAGGCTGAAATGGAGAGAATGGCAGGAAGCGGGCCGGAGAAAAGAAAGGAGCCAGCAGGGAAGGAAGAGGGGAGGGGTAAAAGGGGGAAAGGAAGCAACAAGTGTTGATACGGGGACGTCTGAGACGCGGAAAAGAAGATGCAGGAGGAGAAGGGAAGAGCGATGGGAAAACATAAGGGAGCAAGATGGGGAAAGGAGGAGAGAAAAAAGGGAAGGGAACTCCCGCTAACGTTTGCTGAAACTGCTGGGCATGAGGTATAGTGCTAAATGCTGAGGGAGATGTAGAGATGGGCTGGCCCTGCTCTCCAGGGTCTTAGTATGAAGGTGAGGTGGGGTTTTCTCCAAGTCTTTCTAGAAGGCAAACCTCAGGCAGGAGAAAAGATCAGAGGAGGGGATCAGAGGGAGGGATGGAGAAGAATGGACTCTGCCCTTGCCCTGTCCCTTCAGTGGATTCTAGGACAAAAACAACCTGGTGATCCTTTTAAACGTAAGTCAGAGCAGGCCACTCCCCTGCTCCTGCAATGGCCCCTGCATCCATGTAGAATAAAAGCCACAGTTAGTCCTGACAACGGCCTTCAAAGCTCCAAGTGCTCTGAACCACCCAGGACCCATCTGGGCTCATCTTCTCCATCCTAGGCATGTGGCTCCCTGCTGTGTTTCGACAACCACCCCCAGTCCACTCCCTCCTCAGGGTCTTTGCAAGGCTGGCCCCTTTGCTTAGAATGTTCTTCCCCTCAATAATTTCATGCCCCTCTCCCTCACCTCCTAAAAGTTTATGCTCAAACGTGACCTCTATGAGACCTCCTCTGACCACACTATTTAAAACTCCCAGCCTACCCTGCTCCCAATCCCCTTACTTTGTTCAATTTTTTCCCCCCTGATAGCACTGGTCAACTTATAACTGTATAATTTACTTCTTCATTGTTTCAGAAACTGTCTCCCCATCTCCTTCCACACCACTCTGGTGTGGGACAGTACCTGGCACATCGTAGGTGCTCAATAAATGTTTGTTGGATGAATGAAGGAAGGGTGATGGGGAAAAGAGGTGAGGAGAGGGTGGTGTTGGGTCTGCCGGGTAGACCTTTGGGGGTGGCAATGGCGGGGGGAGCTGGCTGGGCACTTAGAGTTTGCTTTCTGCCCTGTAACTTAAGCTGATGGAGGTTGGAGGTAACTCCATCCCAAGGGAGTTACGGTAGGGTGGTCAGAGAAGCATCGTAAATGTCCGCAAAGGTCTCTAGAAGCTCAGAAAGTCAGAGGACAGAAGCGTGGCAGTTACTCACCCCCAGGGCTAGAGTAGTCTCCCTCGGGTCCCACGTCCTGCACCCCCGTCGGCCCCTTCTTCTGGACCCACTTGGCCCCAGAGGGCGTCGAGATCCAGCTCCAGCCACAGAGATCTTTCAGAGTGTCAAAGTTGCACGTCTGCATCATGCAGACTGAGAGGAGAGAAAGGAGGAAGGAGACGGCTCAGAAAAGTATGCCTCAGACGCAACATCATGAATCAGCTACACTCCACGTGTGTGTATGCATGCTGGGTCTCCTCAGTCGTATTCGACTCTTTGCGACCCTGTGGACTGTAGCCCACCAGGCTCCTCTGTCCATGGGATTCTCCAGGCAAGAATACTGGAGTGGGTTGCCATGCCCTCCTCCAGGGGATCTTCCTGACCCGCGTCTCTGGAGTCTCCTGCATTAGCAGGTAGGTTCTTTACCACTCGTGCCACCTGGGAAGTCCAATACTCCCATATAAAATAAAATAAAAAAAGAAAAAATCACCTCAGTCTGGAGTCAGACTCCCGAGTCCCAACCTGGGTCCTGATGTTACCACTGCCAGCTTGCCAGGCAGATTTGGCCCCACTCCCCAGCAGCTGTGTTCCTGCCACAGGTTACGTAAGCCGTCCAAGCCTCAGTTTCCCCATCAATAAAATGGGAACAAGAGCACCTGCCTGTTGTAAGTTACATCACGTGCAGGAGCATCTCGCACAGTGCCTGTGTTATTTAAGTGTTAGTTCCTTGCATGCACCTTCTGGTGCATTTATTCCCCTTCCTTTGAATTTATTCCCCTTGAATCTCAAACATCAGCTTAGAGGGCCAATTCGGAATGGATCTGGAGTATTAATTACAGCCAAGTCGACCAGACACCCATGTTTGTCAGAGACTGAGGGTTCCCTGGGATGCAGGACTTTTGGTGCTAATGTAGGTACAGCCCTGGGCAAACCAGAAAGGCCAGTCACTTTAGGACAGGTGTCGCCCCAGTTGTGTGTTCCAGGAGAACCTGTCTTCAGACGTGGCAACTTCAGGAATCAGGTGTGGGGTGTGGAGGTAGATGGAAGCAAGTCGCCCTAAGTCTGGGAGAAGCCAGGGTCACGGTCCCTGAGCGAGTCCTGCCACCTGGGCACCTACATAAAGGGTGAGGAGAGAGAGGAGGCAGGATGTGGGCTCACCGCGATTGCAGGAGCCCCGACGGATAGAGATAGCGTCCAGAGCGATGTCCAGATAAGTCGTGCTGCCCCACGTGCCTTCAAATATCAGCTGCGGGAGGGAGGAGGGGGCCACCTGCCCCATGAGGCCCTTTGCCTCAGGCTCCCACTTTCCTGCCTGAACTCAGAAGCCCCCCCAGCCCCCGTGCCCTCTCCTGGACCCCCCGCCCAACACCCAGATTCCCATGGGGACCTCAGACTCTGCCTGCAGCCTCACCCAGCTGGGCAGGACAAGGCCCAGAGGCACTGTGACGGCGGTGGGGATCCAGGAGGGGCTTTGCGTGTTCACGTGTTTCCACAGCAGGTTGGGGTGCTTGCCCTTGGCGTCTGAGGCCAGCCACAGCTTGAGTTGGGCGCCCCACGACAGCCCAAACATGTAGTAGGCGAAGCGCACGCAGAGGGGGCCCTGCTCCCATATCGGGGGGCTTTGCAGGCGGGCCACCCCGCCCGGGTGGAAGGCGCTGGAGTCCATGTGCAGGTAGTAGCCCTCTGGGGGAGGCAGAGCCCTGAATGATGAAGCCTTGCCCACCCCCCACCCAGCCCCCGCCAAGGGCTGCCCCCCCAGCCCTTTCCCAGAGCCCTAACACCCACTTCCGGCCAGCTCCCTGCACCCAGACCTGCCCCTGTCTACCTTCCAGCTGCCTCCCTAAACCTTCAGCCTCCTCACCTCCACTGGGGTACCCCCCGGGGGGCCCAGTGCCGCTGGCGGGGGAGGGCTGGCTTTCTCGAGTCCAGTCTCCATCGTCTTTAGTCACTTGGCTCCAATCACAGAGGGGTCTGGAGTCATCCTCAAAATCACAGTGGGTGAGAATGGCTGGGGAGAGGAGAGGGGAGCCTGCAGAACCAGCCCCGGTGGTGTGTGCGGAGGGTGTCTAGGTCGGGGGTGGCAAACCGAGGTCCCAGGCAGGCAGGCTCCTCTAGGCAGCCTCCTGCCTTGCTGTTGTTCATTGGAATGTGAACCTTTCAGGCAGGGCTTGTTCTCTGCTCCTCCCCGGCTCCCTCTGAGAGTTGCCCTTCACGTATTTATTACATGTTTATGTCAATGCAGGGCCAAGAGCACCTGCGGTGGCCACCCCTGGGAGGGACTGGAGGTCCGAGCAGTCCCAGGTTTCAACTCACAGTTTTCCCGTGAGTTGCGAGCGAGGGGCTTCCAGTCTGGAGGCTTCTCTTTCCTTGGTATTGATTTGGAAAAAGAGGGGGGAGGGGGAATGTAGTTCTCATCATTACCAAGAACTGCTAAGCCTCCACGATTGTGAGCTTTCTGGAAGTTTGTCCCTTTCTTTTTATCCATCTTGTATCAACGTGTATGCAGGGAACATACACTTACTTGAGGGTTTTCAAAAAGGTCACTCACAGCCTTCTCACCTTGTCATCTGTCTCCTAAAGAGCATCTCCCCTCCAAGCGCCTCACGTCCCCTCTGGCTCCCTCCACCCGCTGTGCCCGGGATGTCACACATGGTTCTCTTGCACGAGAAGAACGAGCTTCTCTGTGTGGGAATTCTCACACACCACCTGGGAGTTTACATCTGAGGCATCTCTTTATTTCAGGTCGAGGTTTTCCTGGGCTGTTGCCCAACTTTTCCCCACAGAGTAGGAACTATATGGGTCTGGTGTTGCCAGATGGGTGGTGGGGACGGTCCTGCCCTGACTGAACACAGAGACCAGTGACACCTTACAGATTCCACAGAGAAGCCAGTGGCCTTTCCCCGGTGGCGTGGGCCACATAGGACAGCTGTTTGTTTCAGTAGTTCAAGTCCTGCTTGTCCATATCCCTTCAAACACGGGACTTCCCTAGTGGTTTAGTGGTTAAGAATCTGCCTTGCAACGCAGGGGACTAGGGTTCGATCCCTGGTTGGGGAACTAGGGTCCCACATGCCCTGGGGCGACCAGGCCTGCGTGCGGCAACGACCGAGCCCACGAGCCACAGTGACTGAGCCCGCATGATGCAGCGAAAATCCCGAGTGCCACGACTAAGACCCGACACAGCCACATCGATAAATGTTAAAAAAAAAAAATCCTCTCAAACAAGCTCCAGGACACCAAGCCATCCATCATTTGTTGCTGCTTCCAACTTGTTATGTCTCTGTCCACTGGGTCTGCCCTGGGTTTTGTCCATTTTCTGAGAACCCAGCCTCTCTGTCCTCCCTTGCCGCCCCCAGACCCGTCTTCCGAGCTCTGCACCTCCTCCCTGTCCCCTGACACTTCACCTCTGTCCCGCTTCTGCTCGGCGGCTCACACCCCCAGGTCCAGGCTCAGCGGGCTGCAGGGCCCCGCCCGCTTCTGTTCAGGAGCCTCCTAATACCCATCGGGGGGTCCCTCCTTCCTGCCCGGGGCCACACCGTTCAGCACCAGCCCACTTGTCCCTTCCAGCTTTGCCCCTCGCTCTCCTCCTCAGAGGCACCCCCAAACCCCCCCTGAGCCCAGCTTACCGGGTGGGGGCAGGCATGTGGCCCTGGCCCCAGGCAGCCCCCAGCAGCAGCACCAGAGTCCAGACCGGAGGAGCCATGCAGCAGGTCAGAGGCGGCTCTCGGGGAGAGGAGGAGGGCAGAGTGAGGAGCCCAGGCCGCCCTATCCGCCCCTGCCCCTCCTCGCCTGGCGTCCTACTGGGGAAGCCAGGAAAACTGCCCAGAGAACACAAGAACGCTCTGGGAAATGGAAACTGTGAGAACTGAAACCTAAACCCCTACAGAAGAGTTAAACGTTGACATCAAGAGAAATAAAATGAGAACGAGAGAGAGGGAAAGAAAGAGAGGAAGAAAAGCGAGAGAGAGACTCGGTCCAGGATGACTGACATTCAACCAGGAGAGTCCAGAAAAGAAATAACAAAGAAAAAGAAATTACTTAAGAAAAAACACAGAAGAAGATTCCCCAGAACTGCCAATTGAGTCTCTTGATTAAAAGGGGTCCATTCTGACAAATGCAAAGAGACCCATGAAGGGTGTGTCGTGAAATCTCAGACTGTCAGGGCCGAAGAGACGATCCCAAACACTTTTCAGACAGAAAAAAGCTGGTCACCTACTAAAGATCAGGAATCGGCATGGCACCGGAATTTTCAATAGTAACCATGGATTCTGAGATCCAGTGGAACATTGTCTGCAGAATTCCAACCATTTCAAACCTAAAGTTCTTCATAGCTGGCAACAGGGGCGAAGGCAACAGAAAGATGGAACAAAGTGAGGACTGAAAATGCTTCTTGGCAAAGAATTGAAAAAGACAAGTCACAGAGGAAGACCGACAAGGAGCCAGGTGACATTGGAAAAGAGGTTCTGCTTCTGTCGTCATAAGGGAAATGCTGATCAAGACTACAACTTTCATGTTGGCAACAGTTCAAAGGACTGAAGCATTGAGTGTTGGTCACGGTACAGGTAGACACACTCAAATATGTTCATGCTAAGAATATGTTGATGAAAGCATCTTAGAAGGTAATTTGACAATGACTATTTAACTTTCAAATGTGTTTCTCTTGGATCCAGCTTACCTTTCTAGGAGTCTATCTGCACAAATATGTGTGTATTTTCACAAAGATGTACATGCCTTAAAGATGTTAATTGCAGCACCATTCACAACAGGAAGGAAAAATCAAGGTTACCTAAATATTTGTTGGGCTTCCCAGGTGTTGCTAGTGGTAAAAATCTGCTTGCCACTGCAGGAGACCTAACAGATGCAAGAGATGTGGGTTCAATCCCTGGATCAGGAAGATCGCCTGGAGGAGGACATGGCAACCCAGTCCGGTACTCTTGCCTGAAGAATCCCATGGACAGAGTCTGACAGGCTACAGTCCACAGGGTTGCAAAGAGTCAGACGTGAATGAAAAGACTTAGCATGCACACAAATGTTCTCCAGATGGATGGTTGGATTGTATTAAGAAATATTATTTATATGAAGGAATATTTTGTGGCTGCACAGCAAAGTGATTCAGTTATACATATATTCTTTTCATAGTCTTTTCCATTATGGTTTATCACAGGATATTGAATATATTTCCCAGTGCTATATGGTAGGATCTTGTTGTTTATCCATCCTATAGATAATACCTTGCAACTGCTAACCCCAAACTCCCATTCCATTCCTCCCCCCCCCCACCTCCCCACTGGCAAACACAAATTTGTTCTCTATGTGAGTCTGTTTCATCTGTTTCTGTTTCATAGGTGAGTTCATTTGTGTCATTTCTTTAGATTCTACATATAAATGAGAGCATATGGTATCTGTCTTTCTCTTTCTGACTTTACTTAGTCCTATAATCTCCAGGTCCATCCATGTTGCTGCAAATGGCATTATTTCATTCTTCTTTATGGCTGAGTAGTATTCCATTATATATATGTACCACATCTTTTTTATCCATTCATCTATCGGTGGACATTCAAGTGGTTTCCATGTCTTGGCTATCGTGACTAGTGCTGCTATGAACATAGGCGTGTATATATCTTTTTGAGTTACGGTTTTGTCCAGATACATGCTCAAGAGTCGGATTGCTGGATTATATGACAACTCTACTTTCAGTTTTTTGAGGAAACTCCACACTGGTTTCCGTAGTGGCTGCCCCAGTTTACATTCCACCAACAGTCTATGGGGATTCCCTTTTCTCCACGCCTTCTCCAGCATTTGCCATTTGTACATTTTTTAATGATGGCCATTCTGACCGGAGTGAAGTGTTACCTCGTTGTTGTTTTGATTTGTATTTCTGTAATGACTAACGATGCTGAGCATCTTTTCATGTGCTTGTTGGCTGTCTGTAGAATCTCATATTCTGTTCATTGCAAAATTATTGTCTTCATTTTCCTCATGTGAAAACTGAACTCTAGAGATATGACGTCAATTGTCCAGCATTGTACCTACTCAGAGTCCTGCCAGGTCCCATGGTTCCTAGAAGTGTGTTCCAACAGGGGGTGGAGTCACACCCTAGTCAGAGCAGATCTACCTTCATCAGTTTCATCAACAGCAAGTCTACATGAGCATGCAGGTAAGAGGGTGGCTTTGCTGCTTTTTAAAAACCCCATTGACTCTCATGGCTGTATCTTGGCTGGAGGGCTGTCCAGAGCTCAACTCTCATGAGCCTGAGTTCCGGTATCCCACCCCCAGGTGTTCCTAGTAAACTTCAGTTTCACTCCTTGCACTTCAGGAGCACCCCGCCACTCCGTACTACCAGAGCTGTGTCCAGAGAGCCTGGCCTTCGCCCCGACACATGACGGGGCTGCCTGGGCTCGCCATCCTCCTAAGCTGTCAGGGAGGGGCTGGTACTGCCCTGCTCCAGATGTTGGAGAAGGAAGTCCCAACTCCCTTTGGAGTTCCAGGGACTCCTTCTGCCTGAATGAGCACGCAAAGGGCCCAACCCCAGAAAAAAGATTCTCTGTCCTTCTGCACCAGAGCTGGGGGTACAAAGATGCCCAGCCCAAACCCTGATCTCCCCTTCCTCCAGAGCAGCTTAGGAGAGGACTTCCCTGATGGTCTAGTGGTTAAGACTCTGAGCTTCCACTGTAGGGGGGCACCGGTCCAGTCCTTGGTTGGGGAAGTTTCTCATGTCTGGTGGTGCAGCCAAGACAAAACAAAACAAAAAACCAGAGCAGGTGAGGAGAACGATCAATAAGCGGGACAGAGCCAGGAAAGGGTTAACCCAGGGACAAGCAGCAGAAGCCCAGTGACCCCCAGCCCCTCCAGGTTAGTCAATAAGTCCTCTGAGGGCTGCTCCTGCTGACCTTTCTTTGGCGCCACAGGGCTGGACAGTCACAGCTTCCAACCTGTCTGGGGTTGGGGGTTGGTGCTCAGGCAGGACGGGAAGGGATGGTGGTGTGGGAGGGGCTCTGCTTTCTGGGGAGTCGGAACGGGCAAGGCCCCGGGGCCATTATCACTGACAAGACTGGCTGTGGTAGGAATAGGTGTCGGTGACCTTGGGATGTGGAAGAACCCGGGAATAACTGCAGGGGATGCAGCCCCTCCTGGAGTCCCTGTGTGGCTTTGGACCCTTTAGTTCACCCACTCTGGTCCTCAGTTTCCTCATCTGTAAGACAGAAAGACCAGCAGAGCTCAGGTTTTCAAGAAACCAGAAAAAGAAAATCATTATTAAAAAAAGAATCATGGCACTTTCCTGGCAGTCCAGCGGTTAAGTCTCCATGCTTCCAATTTGAGGGGCTCAGGTTCGATCCCCGGTTGGGAAACTAAGATCCCACACGCCATGAGGCCCAGCCAAAAACCAAAAAAATTGTTATAAAAAAACAGAAATTGTGAGTGGTTGGCATAAGTTTTTAATAATTCATTTTTTTAATCGAGGAGATTTAGAGACATTTGGACATGATTCACATAAGCAGGGAAACCATTCGGCTGTTTTTCTGTTGCCAATAATCTTTCACAGTGTCGAAGTTTTATGATGGAGTTTTGGAGGCATGAGCCTTGACCAGCTGGGAATAACATAGTTAACCTTCACCCTAGATTCCAGTGTCTCAGAGGCCCCATTTTGCTAACTCAGCTCCAGCAGTAGTCACCTACTGGGGGAAGGCAGTGGACTGATAGACCCAGGAGAAACCCAGGTGGCCCCAGGGGCCAGGCTCGGGCAGATGCATTCGGTCAGCCTGATGTGCAGGCCAAGAGGCTGCAGTCAAGGGTGGGAGCTGGGGCTGCAGGCATGGGCCCCAGAGCTGGGAGACTTGGATGGTGGGAAGGGTGGTAGGCACCTTCGACTTTTCCAGGGGATAGATCAGGAAAGAGTGGTAACAAGAAATGCCTGGGATTCACGCCTCATTGACTGAAGCTGTTTCCTTCCCTCCGTCCATTCCCTCTACTCTTCTCCCCATGAGGCTTGCTTCCAGCAGAAGAGGGACCCAGAGTCCCAGAGCCTGGCTCCTGGTCCTGACACTTCCTTTCAGTATCTTATGACCCAGGCCAGACCATTCCATGATCTCTCTGGATCTCCGTGTCCTCCTCTCCAGTTTCTGCCCTCCTCATCGGGTTATGAGAGCAAATGCAAGACTGCCTGGGATAGCACTTTGGAAGTGGCAAAGCCCTCTACAAACAGGAGGCATATCCATGAAACAGTTATGTACCCTGCTGACTCAGAACCAGGCTGAGTTGGCACCCATCCCACCCGGAAGTTGGAAGAGCTGGCTCAATCACTCACCCAGAGGAACTTAGTTTTAGTTTCCCCGTCTGATGAATGGGGATGATGCCTGCTGTCCTCTTTCGTGGAATGATGGTGAGAATCACAGGGGATCTTGTAGGTGCCAGAGATTAATGTGTTGTTAATCGTCAAATCATCATCATTATAATAGTGCAGAAGAAAGCAGGTCTTTTTGCCCCAAGGGGACTGTCCACTCTAGGAGGACACTCGGTTGTGGGTAGCACAGATCATAATTCTGCTTTTCCATGTACATAGTCCAAAGGCTGGCATACAGTAGGAACTTCATAAATGTGAAACAAATTATGTTTTTAAATTATGTTCTTAACCTACTCACTCATCACACCTGACTCAGGTCATATACTTCAGGTTCTGTTAGTTTTTTTTTTTAATTTTTAAAT